GCACCATGGACAGAGACACAATACACACCTGTAGGACTTCAGCACCATGGACAGAGACACAATACACACCTGTAGGACTTCAGCATCACGGACAGAGACACTATACACACCTGTAGGACTTCAGCACCATGGACAGAGACACTATACACACCTGTAGGACTTCAGCATCACGGACAGAGACACTATACACACCTGTAGGACTTCGGCACCATGGACAGAGACACTATACACACCTGTAGGACTTCAGCACCATGGACAGAGACACTATACACACCTGTAGGACTTCGGCACCATGGACAGAGACACTATACACACCTTTAGGACTTCGGCACCATGGACAGAGACACAATACACACCTGTAGGACTTCGGCATCACGGACAGAGACACTATACACACCTGTAGGACTTCGGCACCATGGACAGAGACACTATACACACCTGTAGGACTTTGGCACCATGGACAGAGACACTATACACACCTGTAGGACTTCGGCACCATGGACAGAGACACTATACACACCTGTAGGACTTCGGCACCATGGACAGAGACACAATACACACCTGTAGGACTTCAGCACCATGGACAGAGACACAATACACACCTGTCGGATTTCAGCACCACAGACAGAGACACAATGTTTCTTTGTTTCAGTGTGTGAGGAAACAGGATTGTCTGTCTGTTTGTCTGTCTGTAAACCATTGTTAAATGTGTTGAACCTTTCAGTGAGTCTGCTCAGCTGGTTGTGAAACAGACACACAGGTACAGTCAGTACAGTCCTCTGTCTGTCTGTCTGTCTGTCTGTCTGTCTGTCTGTCTGTCACAGTAGATTCTGTACAGTCCTCTGTCTGTCTGTCTGTCTGTCTGTCTATCTGTCACAGTAGATTCTGTACAGTCCTCTGTCTGTCTGTCTGTCTGTCTGTCTGTGTCTGTCTGTCTGTCACAGTAGAGTCAGTACAGTCCTCTGTCTGTCTGTCTGTCTGTCTGTCTGTCTGTCTGTCACAGTAGAGTCAGTACAGTCCTTTGTTTGTCTGTCTGTCTGTCTGTCTGTCTGTCTGTCACAGTAGAGTCAGTACAGTCCTCTGTCTGTCTGTCTGTCTGTCTGTCACAGTAGAGTCAGTACAGTCCTCTGTCTGTCTGTCTGTCTGTCTGTCTGTCTGTCACAGGTACAGTCAATACAGTCCTCTGTCTGTCTGTCTGTCTGTCTGTCTTCCTGTCACAGTAGAGTCAGTACAGTCCTTTGTTTGTCTGTCTGTCTGTCTGTCTGTCTGTCACAGTAGAGTCAGTACAGTCCTTTGTCTGTCCGTCTGTCTGTCTGTCTGTCTGTCTGTCTGTCTGTCACAGTACAGTCAGTACAGTCCTCTGTCTGTCTGTCTGTCTCTCACAGTAGAGTCAGTACAGTCCTCTGTCTGTCTGTCTGTCTGTCTGTCTGTCTGTCTGTCTGTCACAGTAGAGTTAGTACAGTCCTCTGTCTGTCTGTCTGTCTGTCTGTCTGTCTGTCTCAGTAGAGTCAGTACAGTCCTCTGTCTGTCTGTCTGTCTGTCTTTTTGTCACAGTAGAGTCAGTACAGTCCTCTGTCTGTCTGTTTGTCTGTCTGTCTGTCTGTCACATTAGAGTCAGTACAGTCCTCTGTCTGTCTGTCTGTCTGTCTGTCTGTCTGTCTGTCACAGTAGAGTCAGTACAGTCCTCTGTCTGTCTGTCTGTCTGTCACAGTAGAGTCAGTACAGTCCTCTGTCTTTCTGTCTGTCTGTCTGTCTGTCACAGGAGAGTCAGTACAGTCCTCTGTGTGTCTGTGTGTCTGTGTGTCTGTGTGTCTGTCTGTCTGTCTGTCTGTCTGTCTGTCACAGTAGATTCAGTACAGTCCTCTGTCTGTCTGTCTGTCTGTCTGTCTGTCACAGTAGAGTCAGTACAGTCCTCTGTCTGTCTGTCTGTCTGTCTGTCTGTCTGTCTGTCACAGTAGAGTCAGTACAGTCCTCTGTCTGTCTGTCTGTCTGTCTGTCTGTCTGTCACAGTACAGTCAGTACAGTCCTCTGTCTGTCTGTCTGTCTGTCTGTCTGTCTGTCACAGTACAGTCAGTACAGTCCTCTGTCTGTCTGTCTGTCACAGTACAGTCAGTACAGTCCTCTGTCTGTCTGTCTGTCTGTCTGTCTGTCTGTCACAGTAGAGTCAGTACAGTCCTCTGTCTGTCTGTCTGTCTGTCTGTCTGTCTGTCTGTCTGTCTGTCTGTCTGTCTGTCACAGTAGAGTCAGTACAGTCCTCTGTCTGTCTGTCTGTCTGTCTGTCTGTCTGTCTGTCTGTCACAGTAGAGTCAGTACAGTCCTCTGTCTGTCTGTCTGTCTGTCTGTCTGTCTGTCTGTCTGTCTGTCACAGTAGAGTCAGTACAGTCCTCTGTCTGTCTGTCTGTCTGTCTGTCTGTCACAGTAGAGTCAGTACAGTCCTCTGTCTGTCTGTCTGTCTGTCTGTCTGTCTGTCTGTCTGTCACAGTAGAGTCAGTACAGTCCTCTGTGTGTCTGTCTGTCTGTCTGTCTGTCTGTCTGTCTGTCTGTCTGTCACAGTAGAGTCAGTACAGTCCTCTGTCTGTCTGTCTGTCTGTCTGTCTGTCTGTCTGTCTGTCTGTCTGTCTGTCTGTCTGTCTGTCTGTCTGTCACAGTAGAGTCAGTACAGTCCTCTGTGTGTCGTTGTTTGAGTTGCTGTGAGTCTCTGCTGTACTGACACTGATCACTCTGACATTTACAGTTTCCTGCTGTATCTTCATCTATATTAGTTTGAAATGTCAGCGCGTTCAAATGTCGTCTGACAAACAATTAAATATAAAGCTGATAAACACAAACATCTTCCACAGAAACACCTGACGCTGGTTTTAGGTACCTGTCAGTCTTAATGGTGATAATCAACTTTTCTGGGTCACTGTAGAAACATGGAATTTCAACATGGTGGACTCACACTTAAACACTAATGAAAACATACCTATAGATATTATATTATATTATATTATACTATATTATTATTATATTATATGATATTATATTATTATTATATTAAATTATATTATTATTATATTATATCATATCATATTATACTATATTATTATTATATTAAATTATATTATATTGTATTATTATTATATTATATTATTATTATATTATATTATACTATATTATTATTATTATTATATTATGTTATATTATATTATATTATACTATATTATTATTATATTAAATTATATTATTATTATATTAAATTATATTATTATTATATTATATCATATTATACTATATTATTATTATATTGAATTATATTATATTGTATTATTATTATATTATATTATACTATATTATTATTATATTATATTATATTATATTATACTATATTATTATTATATTAAAGTATATTATTATATTATATTATTATTATTACATTATATTATGTTATATTATATTATATTATATTATACTATATTATTATTATATTAAAGTATATTATTATATTATATTATTATTATTACATTATATTATGTTATGTTATATTATATTATATTATATTATACTATATTATTATTATATTAAAGTATATTATTATATTATATTATTATTATTACATTATATTATGTTATGTTATGTTATATTATGTTATGTTATGTTATGTTATGTTATGTTATATTATATTAATGTGACACACTGGAGCTTTAACGGCTTGTTCAAGACAGAAACGACCACAAAGAGAGAAAAACAACAAAGAGAGTAAAAGCAGTTTGAAAAACTGCTCCTATTGAAATATAAAATTGTCAGTGACACATACATAAAAATCTGATTTATTAATTAATATAAATGTACTAAATATACATAAAAATATGTATAATAATAAGTTCTGATTGGACTTCAGTGAAATATGAAGTTGAGAAAATGATTCAGCTCTCTGTGTGTCCTCCTGTCTAATGAAAGCAGACAGCCTTTGATATGCAAAACCCCTCATTTCCCTGTACACACACACACACACACACACACACACACACAGACAAAAGGCAGGGGAAATGACAGGTGGCCAGTGTGTGTGCGTGTGTGTGTGTGTGTGTGTGTGTGTGTGTGTGTGTGTGTGTGTGTGTGTGTGTGTGTGTGTGTGTGTGTGTGTCTGTGTGTGTCTGTGTGTGTTAATCCAACACTCAAATAAAATGAAAAAAACATCTGAGAGATTTATTTTGTTTCCAGTGTCGCAGCAGCCGAACAAAACACATTTGTTCCTATTACACAGACACAGACACACACACACACACACACACCTACACACACACACATAAAGAAGGCTCATCAACATTTTATTAATAATAAAAAGGTTTATTTACACAAAGTAAATAAAAAAACAAAGATACAGGAATAAAATCAAAGCAGTAAAACCCAGTTTATCAATCAACAGTTGATGATCAATAGATTGTAGATAACTGATACAAAATCCAATAACAGCCTGAAGATAAAATGTCACATATGGAGGACCAACACCGCCAAATCAAAAACAAATTTAATAAAATGTAAACTGAAATGCTAAAGTAAATAAATATGGGAATATATATATTTATTTTTATATCATTTTGGTGCATTTAATAGACAATCTGAGCTCTTTAATCCTTTTTCTGATGACTGCACACTGATTCTGTCAGAGGTCACACGAGTTCCAGAAATCAGAATCTCCTTCAATCAGACATCACCCAACAAAGTTTGAGCAATAAAGTGTAAAAAAGAAACCAGATTAAAACTAAAATATAGCGTTTATCTTTATCATTATTGTTATTATTGTTATATTTATGATTATATGTTTAACTCATCCCCAAAAAAGACACAAAACAAACACAAAGACTGAAATGTGTTGACTTTAATCAAATCGATCAGCTTGTCGATTTCCTGTTTAAATCTTCTCTTTCTCTCTCTCTCGCTCTCTCTCTCTCTCGCTCTCTCTCTCTCTCTCTCTCTGCCTCTCTCTCTCTCTCTCTCTCTCTCTCTCTCTCGCCCAGAGGGGAAGGTGGAGGTGACTAAAGAGGGGATGAAGTTGTGTACAATGGGACCGGGCAAAGTGTTCGGAGAGCTAGCCATCCTCTACAACTGCACCAGGACGGCTACTGTCCGGAGTGAGTACACCGCATGAGTGTGTGTGTGTGTGTGTGTGTGTGTGTGTGTGTGTGTGTGTGTGTGTGTGTGTGTGTGTGTGTGTGTGTGTGTGTGTGTGTGTGGGTCCTCGTAAATCCTCATCAGGTCGGGGTCCTCCTATCTCCGTCCGGTCCTCACAGTCATGGTCATTCTTGTGACTCAAGGATGAACTGATTGGAATTTGGTGCTCAAAGGTCAAAGGTCACTGTGACCTCACAAAACACATTTTTGTTTATAACTCAAGAACTGATGTTTCACATTTCAGTTTGATTTTACTCAATAAGTCAAAGGTCAGCTTCCCTTCTAAAACCAGTACTGAGGAACAGAAGGGCAGATTGAGACTTATTATATTTCACAGACACTGAACTGGTGACATTTCAGGTCAAAGGTCAAAGGTCACTGTGACTTACTGGAATACATAGTGTAGTGTGTATAAATACCACATACATACATATGTGTGTGTATATAATGTAATTTTACTTTTAATTAAGTTACCAATCAAGTTACTTTAATATTGTGATCCTGGTATTGGGCTACTGACTACAGGTAATTAGTAACTGTATAATAATTACAGCACTGACATTGAAGAGGGTCTTCTTGGTCCCTTCAGGGGTTAAAGTTGGCAGTTGAACTCCAAACTAGCAGCTGAATGTTTTTCCTCCAGAAAACCTCTGTAGACGTTAACCGTTGGAGTTCAGGAGGAACGAGTGGGAGTCTGCAGTGTGAACCAATCAAACATCACCCACAACTCCGACAGCAGAGAGAGAGAGAGTGTGTGTGTGTGTGTGTGTGGACCTCCAACTTTTTGTCAGCGCTTCCTGGTAGAGTGCTCGTTAAGCAGCGGTTGCCAGGCAACACCATCCGGCCCAGCCAATGAGTGAAGTTTTTGGCAACAGTGTCTCTTGGCAACAGCGTTGGGTTCGAGGGGATTCGTTTCCGTTTGCTGAAGCTTTCTGCTCGTTATCTTCACATTAACACACGAGCTCCAGCTGGAGTTTATCTCATCTTCGGTTCTTTAAACTTCAGCACAGAGCGGTCAGCGTCGGCTTTACGGCCGCGTTTGAATAATTAAAATCGCCTCACATCAAAACAGAAAACACTCGACTCTAACTGATGCTGCGTGGTCAAACTGGCACGTATGACGGAGGAAAGGAGGTTTATTGTTTCTTAAATCGTAAACAATTCCTCAGGGCTTTGGTTTGTACTGTCTGTGGTTTAAAGGGGAGGATTCTGCACCTTTAAACCCGACAGAAACAGATACCAGAGAGACGTGTGTGTGTGTGTGTGTGTGTGTTGGAGAGCAGCTGCCTGTGAATATGAATATGATCATATTAAACCAGCCGCTCTGACCTTTGACCTTTAGCACACACATACACAGTCATTAATAAACATTAATAATAATCATTGAGCCCACATGAAACTCGTCTCAGACCATAACGTTTGCTGCTGTGGAGTGTCTCCTGTTGTTTCCGTGGTTACAGAGACACTTGGTATCTCCGTAGCAACAGACAGCAGGTCATAAAGCAGTGGAAACAAGAAATAAAAAGTAATGGCCAAACAGACCATTTATGTTTTCAGCACACACACAGAGTACTGCAGCTCATAATGGCTCATTGATGTACAACATGCAGCGTGGGATCATGGGAGATGTTGTCTTCACCACCATTGCAGTCCGTTTCTGTTCATTGTTCCACCAGGAGCTCAAGCTGTTGCTAACCCTCTACTCAGCATGTTTATATTGTGGCGCAGTGGTTCAGACTTGAGACGCTGTAGAAGCACCGGACTGCGATCTTTACCTCGATCCCTCTGACACACACACACATACCGGAGGGTCAGCCTCTCTGAGCCGCTAGCTTAGCTACAACACAGCAGCTATATTAGCTCCAGTAAACTGCTCATGGCTGTGACGACCAGCTCGCTGTGGTCAGTCTGTCAGTCACAGCGTTCAGTTACTTTAATAATTATAGTGACGCTTCAGTTAAACAGCAACTCGTCAGCCCTCTGCTCGTTAAACTGAAGGAAGTTTGTAGAAGTATGCTCGTCTCCACGGAAACAGCAGCTGACTTGTATGAGCCAACGCACACACAACGTACACACAGGTGGATTTCTTGTAACCATGGTAACCAGCTCTGTCTGAGCAGCATCGGTGCTGAGCTTTATGGGATGTCTGAGGCTCTCTGCAACTGCAAATTCAGATCTTAAACACACATACACAGTCCTTGCAACAGAAGAACACTCGTTTATAGACATTCACTGTAAAAGTAATGTAAATACAATGAGACCTTGAGTTTTAGTTAAAGGTTGTAATACATTCACTGCCACTAGATGTCGCACCAGAGCTCCAGCATCTCAAACCAAAACAAAAAGATGGAGCACCAAAAAAATACAGTAAAATAACTGACTCATAAAAATATACTCACTTTCTATAATTAAAATACAGTTTTTAGCTTTAATTTCACTCAAAATCTTGTGGCTTAAAAAATCAGGCTTAAATTAGAATTGTAAAAGTTATAGAACTGTAATAAAAGTCTGTATCTGTAAAATGTCAGTAATTATTGCTGTTTACACTGATGAAAACTGTATTTTGTTGTGAAAACTTTACAACCAATCCATGTAAAGTTACATTGTTGATTGTCACTAATTTTACATTATTTAATAAATGTATTAACAGTTTAATATAACAGTTTAAGTTTTTTTAAATATATTTGCAAATGTATTTTCTTAAAATCAGCAGTAATTTTATGATTATTTACAGTTTTTTTCAGATTTTTCATGTTATTTTACATTAAACATGTAAATTCACAGGCTGTTTTTGTCTTTTTTTAATATTTCCACGTATTTTAAAAATTCAAAAACCCTGTAAAAACAACGGGACAAACTCATAAACGTACGTATTTCTTTGCAGCTTAAATTCTGAAAGTGTGAGCAGACGTTACGTATTGATTCTTGTTTGCGTGACCACAGAGCCCTTTTCCCTTCAGCGTCAGATTTTGTCTGAGCCACAGTCCCAGTTTCATTAAGATCATAGTAAAAAGACTTTTCCAGCTGAGTCACAACAGGACAGATCAGTGCTCAGGAATCTACATCAGACCTCCACCAAAAGCAGCTCAGTGTAAAGTATGAGACTGATGTTAATAATCTCTATTGTTTGTTGTCTCAGTATGGAGTCGTCACAAACTCTGAAACACCAGAGGTGTGTTTGATTTCTGTTACCTGTCACACCTGCTGTGATGAGCAGACTCTCCCTGCTGATGGAAGGTATCTGATTTCTCTGGGGAATCGAACCTGCATCATCCTGAAGGTGTGATGTCTCCACGCTGACACTTTGAATCTCTCCTGTGGGCGATCCTGGTGAATCTGGATCTTTCTGCCATCAAGACCAGTGACGTTAAAACCAGTTAAATAGTATCAGAAATCTGAAAACTACTCGCTAATGTTTAAGAGGTTTTTACACTAGTTTTCTTTAATCAAAATACTGTTTTCAGCTTTAATTTTACATAAAAAATTGTGTCTTTTTTTGTGTTTTTAATGTTTAATTAAAAATATTCACACTGTAAAACCAACGCAACGATCTATAAATCCAGGTGAACTCTGCTATAATACAATAATCAGACTTACATTTACAGCAGAGTGCTGTTATTATTGGATTGTTATTATTTTAATGTGAATGTTAAAAGTTATAGAAGTGTAATAAAAGTCATTATCTGTGAGATTACAGTAATTATTGCTGTTTACACTGATAACAACTGTATTTGGACAGTTTACCAATGCTTATACACTGATAAACAACATTTATTCAATGTTTGTGTTGTGAAAACTTAATTATACAAGATATCTGTAAGTTATCTGTCATTATAAACCTCACTGATTATATTATAATAAATTATATTATATTTTATATATATACTGTATACTGTCTGGTAGTTTTTTCTATTTCCAGGTCTGTAATAAACATATTTACGATATGTCTTTCAGCTCTGGTGCATGTGAAGCTGTGGGCAATCGACCGTCAGTGTTACCAGACCATCATGATGAGAACTGGACTCATCAAACATGCCGAGTACATGGACTTCCTCAAGAGGTGACTGCCAGTAGAAAACCCATGAGCAAGGCACTATCTGTTAGAGGTTCAAACCCCACAGATACAATCACTTTGTCACACACTCATTCAAGTTACAGCCCTGCTTTTAGCGCCCCCTGTGGTTAGTGACGGAACAGCTAACTAATTGTTAGCTGGATAGTTACATCTGATAGCTAATGTTAGCAAAACACTAGCTAACTAGCTATCTAATTTACATAAACTGTTAGACTCCATTGACAGAACCAGTAATTTTACCTCGAAGGTAATTGTAAAAACCCACTTCAAACTGGAAATACATAAAATAAAACTCATCAAAATCAAAGTTATATAGAAAGCCAATGTTAGCAAACTAACACAGCTAGTTAGCTAGTGTTTTGCTAACGTTATCTAGTGTAAGATTATATTATATATTTGTCTCTTTTATCTTTGAACCATCTTCAAAATGTGGTTGTCTTTCCAACATAGATTAGCCTAGCATAGCATATCTAAGTACAGGAACGGAGTTGTTGACTGAGGCTACCGAAGGGGGCGGGGCTTCGGGAGGGTTCATTAATACATAGATATTGTTGAGTGAACAATAAATGATGTGTCTCTGCAGTGTTCCCACCTTCCAGGGTCTCCCAGAGGAAACTCTCAGTAAACTGGCCGACGTCATGGAGGAGGTGAGAAAAAACAAATATCCGTCTTCTTCTTTGGTGGAATCACTGTGTAAATCCTCCAATCAGACGCTCACTTCTGTCTGCTCAGACTCATTATGAGGACGGAGAGTACATCATCAGACAGGGAGCCAGAGGAGACACCTTCTTCATCATCAGCAAGGGAAAGGTAAGGCAATCACTCCAACAGTCCTCGTATTGATTTGCCGACTCGTCCCGATCGTCTGCTGATAGCTGTTAATCACATCTTCTGTCAGGTGAACGTGACCCAGGAGGATCCAGCCAATCAGGAGACAACACACCTCAGAGAGCTCAGCAGGGGAGACTGGTTTGGAGAGAGAGCGTTGCAGGGGTAAGATTATGTGACCTGAACCCTTAACATCAACATATATAAAGATGGACGACAGAAAGATGTCAGTGGCCGTATCCGGATATTCTGGCATTTTTGTACAGCGGGAGGAAGTGGAGACGTCCGTCTTTTATATGTTGATGGTCGAAACACGTAATTACTAAAGCTGCTTCTTTTGACCTTTCTTTTCACCCCAAACAAGAAGCAAATGTTCCTGTTACCCACAGGATCATTTGCCCAAATGAATCAGATATTTCTGTGATTTAATATCAATAAACGGATCAATTTGATGCTGAAATAACGACATCATGATGCTCATCTATAAAAAGTCTGAATTCAAACTCTGTCGGTCAGTCTGCAAGGCGACGAGCAAACAACTCTTAAAATGCTTGTTTTCTGAATGGAGTTTGGTTGATCAGGACTTGGCTAACCTCTCTTTCTTTTCTTCAAGCAATTTTCATTTTCAATTTGTGCTGTCTGTTCATGTCACACAAATTATTGTATTCACGTTTGGTGGAAACGCAGCATTTGGCTGCATATAACGCGAACATCCACAGAAAATCTCCATTAGTAGTTGAGATATTTACTTGTTGGACAAACTCACTTTTTGTGTGTGTGTGTGTCTGTGTGTGTGTGTGCGTGTGTGTGTGTCCTTCAGTTATGGAGGGTCAAAGGTCAGTCAGCTCTTAATAACCCCAAATCTCTTGGACTGTCTGACAGGAAATGAAGTTAACAGGAGAGACGCAGTTTATTAAAGGTCTGATGGATGGTTGGTGTGTGTTTTCATGGACTTCTATCTTTGTGAGGACCCGCAGACTTTGGGTTTTTATTATGTTAGTTTTAATGTATTATAGTCTGTTTTATTTGCCTCAAGTTTACGGCCTGCAATGGTTGTATTAATGCTATTAATGCACATCAAGTGACTAACTTTTCCCAAAATCAATCAATCTAACCCCCTTTAGTTCATAAAATAGATTAAGAAGGCAAAAATAAACAAATAAAATCAATAAAAAAGAAAACAGAGTTTGAAAAGAAAAGATCTCAGAACACAGAGTTCGACTGAGCTTCCCAGACGCTTCTTTAAAAATACTCTGAGTAGACATTTTAGATGCTAAAAATCTTGGTTTCCATTATTTTTTTAAGTCTAAGTTAAGTTGTCTTATCCAATACACGTCTTCTTACTGACATTTGTTTTCTCTTTTTATTTACATATTTGGTGTTGAGGTAATCCAAAAGTAACAGAAAATAAAACAGAAAGTAATCAAGTTACTTTCTAGTGCGTACAGTTTCAAAACAGGCTCCTTACTGTAGTTTTAATGCAGTTGATGGAAATTATTGAGTTTCAAACTAAATACACAACCTGGTTTCCATAAGGGGCTAAAATACAGTTTAAAAATTACAGGGCAACATTGATTATTTTCAGGATATTTGGTCATTTTAATCAATTTCCAGGTGTTTCCATGACTGGAAAATGTGTCTATAAATTTCCAGGTTTTCCAGGTTTCTAGGGCGTGTGGGAACACTGACAGTACATCAGACACTGCTTCCACAACCATCAATGCTTCTCTGTACTCTTATAATAAACAAATAAGCAATAAGTACGACAGCCTCTGTCCTTTTAGATAAAGAAAAACTCTCCAAGGAAACGGGTTACAGAGAGAAAATGGAAGAAACCTCAGGAAGAGCAGCGGATGTGACAGCTGCCACCACAGTCAAATTCAACACATTAATTAGATACATTTTTAAAAATAACGTCTTAAAAAACATAAATGAATGTTCACATTTTAGAGTTCAATAAAAAGTCTATTTGTTTTTATCACATTTAAAATGTTTCACGGGGGAAAAAAACGAGCAGTCAAGAGAATTTTTCATGGAGTACTGACCAAAGAGAAAGCACAGCACTCATGCGCACGCTAAAAACATGTAAGATGGCGTGTGCTAAAAGCCCGGCAGCATCAATCTTAAGTGTGTTAGGACACATAGCAGACCGCCGTCACAGCTGCTGCTAATTGGTTTAAAGTGCGTTTCAGTGTATCCTCCGGGGAGTGCTGTTTACAGTTCTGTCTCTGTGGGGACCAGAGTTTACACCTGCACAGCAGGGACGTTTCTCCAAAGTGGGGACCTCTTGATTCCTCTGCACTGTCTGCATTATCTGAGGAACGCCTCGGTGCAGTTTCTTCAAATTTGGCACAAATGTCCACTTGATGAACTCAGCAGCTCTGATTTCTAAATATTGGCCATTGAAAAAACATGTATCGGTTGGCAGCTAATGCTGCATTCACATGGATTCAGGCAGACAGACAGTAACGTCCTCATAGCCTGGGACAAACAAACAGTCGGACAGGACAGTAAAACGAAACACGCATGATGATGTGTTGCTATGGTGATGTCGTATTGTTTACAAAAAATTATAAATGTATTCAAACAAATAATTTGTGAATATTATTTTATGTAATTTATGTATTATTAGCGTCTTGTTGTACAGATTTTCCGTGTTTTCTCCTCCTGTGAAGGAATTTTATATTCCAGACCATTACAGTTACTGGTATTCTCACCTAAGTTCACCATTGTGCTCTCACCCACTAACATCCAGTTCACCGTTGATCGTTTACCTGAATCCATGTGAATGCATCATCGTCTGCAGGAACCTAATGGAAGTCTGTGTCCCTAAAAGTGACAAAGTACAAGTGTGTGTGTGTTATGTACCACAGGGAGGACGTGAGAACAGCCAACGTCATTGCTGCCGAGGCCGTCACCTGCCTGGTCATCGACCGAGAGTAAGCACACTCCTTGTGTCACTATATTAATGAAGACCCGTCATTGACAGAATGTATTCCCTCAACCTTTTGTTTTTTTATTACATTTATAAATGTAATAACTACAACATATAACACAGACCACACAGCACATACATGTATATACACACGTATGTCCATTGGCTGGGTGTTACCACACACTCAGCACCAGCTGCTATTAGCTGCCTGTTTTTACAGGATAGCACTCTGCTTCCTGTTTCATGTGGACTTTAATGCAGTATTTATACACTGTGGTATCAGTACTTTCACTGTAGTAAAATATGTTTACTCCAGTACAGTTTCAGAGTAAACTGAATGAGCTCAGACTGAAAATATGTTTGTTATTTGGTTGAACTGAACAGGTTTAGGTGTGTGTGTGTGTGTGTGTGTGTGTGTGTGTGTGTGTGTGTGTGTGTGTGTGTGTGTGTGTGTGTGTGTGTGTGTGTGCTGCCCTCTGCTGGTCCTCACAGCTAACTGCACACTCACTGTGTTGTATCTTGATCAGTGTTTGAGTCTGTCGCTCTCAGAGGAAATGGATTTATTTGTCTGTCGTAGGCAGACGTACAAACAAGTACAGAAAGAGTTTAAACCACTACAGTCTGTTTTCCAGAACAAAATGTTTAGTGTAACTGCTGGAGACCCAGACTGAACATTAAACTCTGTACTCAACAGTTCTGTCCAGATTGTGGCAGAAATAAATGCTGATTTAATCTTAAACAATCACAAATATTAATATTATGTTACAATCTGTGTGCTGATTGGCTGTTTCTTCCTCTTCAGCTCATTCAAGCATCTGATTGGTGGACTGGACGACGTTTCCAATAAAGGATACGAGGACGCCGAAGCAAAAGCCAAGTAGGTTTAATAAACAAGTAAGAAATGTTTATTACAAGTACGCAGCGCCATTGTGCTCAAACATCCGCCTGTAGGGACAGGAAGGAACAGATTTCTGACTGGAGGGGACTTTGAGGAAAAGGTTGGCTCTGGTATTGCAACCAGAATCCTTTCCTGTCCTTGCCTTTGGTGGTCTGCTCTGGGTCCAAGATCCAGAGAGCCACGAGCCGGTGAGAGTGAAGAGAAAAGTGGCGTTTCATGGACCTGGTCATGGCGTCAGGTTACTGACCAGGAAGTAAATATAACAGCTTGCTTTTCATAATAAAAGTTGAATTTAAATAATACCAAATCAACAAATTCATCTAAAAATAGTAAAAGAAATTGTGGAGCTTCAATAAATCATTGATTGATGATCATTGCTGTTTGTTAACAGAAAATTAATTACAAAAAAAACATGTTGATACTTTTTCAAGCAACTAGACTAGAACACAACCTCCGACAGGGAATCCAGTACCACAGTGGTTTTCTGGCCAGGTTTGGCTCCTGGCATCCCGGGGCTGAGTCAGTTAGCTTAGCTGCGCGGCTGACCGAGCTGACAGCACTTAGCGGTTGGCTACTTAGCTACTTTAGCTAAATCAATCCTAAACTCCATCAGTAAACTCTGTAAATCACAGAGAGTTGAAGCTGAGCAGCCGGAGGACGTCAGAGGGAAAACCAGGAAATATTCTCTCCATAAAATCTGATCCAGTTTCACCAAAATCACTGAATGTAGCTATAAAGTAGTGCTAGCTAGCTAATGTAGCTATAAAGTAGGTCTTTTTACAGTAATCAGTGAGGTCATAGATGTCTGTAACACATCAGCCCTCAGAAAGCGTTTGAGCAGCATTAGTATACGCCCCCGAGTGCAGGATGAGTCATCAATTACTTTTATTGATTATCAGGAAACTCTAAAATACCGTTAAGAATACCTGAAGATACCTAAAACAGGACTTCCTGTCCCTGTCGGACAGAAACTGGAGGACAGGAGACTTTGGACCTCCGTCATGTGTTTCCTGAGGTTTTTTCTGTGTGAATGTTTACAGCAGTAACTGGAGCCGCTGTGCTGCTTATGTAAGAACAGCTAATAATACTCCATGCAGTTGGATCCACAACCAGGTCGCACTGAAGGACGCCAACTGATTACTGAAGACTCAGTGAAAGTGTGTGATTGTCCTCTCGGGTCGCTGCGACAGCAGCTCAAGTACGGATGAATTTCTGACATTTCCAGACAGCGGGCTTGTCACTGTGCTGCAACGTTAATCAATACTTCTGATCAGGCCGGGTTAATCACACACACAGTCATGTGTTGTGTCAGATGACTGTTGGTCATGTGACAGAATTAACTCATCTCCTCTTATGGTATAGATTCAATGGTGTGAGGTGTCAAGTCGGACTGTTGCTATGGTTACAGTAAACATGGGGGTGTGTTTGTCCTTCAGACCTGCTGCTGCTCGCTGTGTCTGAACTCAGGCTCACATTTACTGTACTTTCATTTCATCAGTGTGTAGTGTGTAGGAGTTAGTGGCATCTGGTGGTGAAGCTGCAGATTGCAACTAACTGAACACCACTCGCGTCTGTTTTAGAAGACCTAGGAACGAGAACAGGCTGCGAAAGTCGCAAAAAACAAAACCCATATCTAGATCCAGTGTGTGGTTTGTCTGTTCTGGGCTACTGTAGAAACATTGTGGACTCTGCCAGAAGAGGACCCTCTCCCTCTGTAGATAAAAACGTCTCATTCTAAGGTAACAAAACACAATGATTCTTATTGTCAGCTGATTAAACACTAATGAAAACATGGATATTATATTATATTATGTTACACACTGGAGCTTTAACGGCGTGTTCAAGACAGAAATAACCACAAAGAGACCAAAGTGGAGAGAAACTCAGTGTTTCCTCTATGTTGATTTTGGAGCGGCGGCCCACCGCTGTTAAATTTCTGCCGCCACGGTATCAGAAATGGGGCAGACGCACAATGTAGTCACGGTTGCCTTTTAAATGATCCTGCCGACATAATGCACCCCCGCTGGCTGCCGCTCACATTGCAATTTAACCACAAGAAGAACTATTCAGAGGTTATTGGGGCTGTCCAGTTTAACTCCACATACTGTTGTGTTGATGGAGCTTATTGTCAAAACGTTCTCTTTCTTCCAAGTCGACTATTAAACTAACAGCTCCACCAAAAACGTCACAGCGGTGGGTCCGTTTTAATTGGACAGCGTTCTACTTGTCAGTTCTCAGCTCAACGTCCTGATATCAAACATCTGGAAACATTAAAACGGTAAATATATTTGTTTGTGTCGCAGCGAAGTGTCAGTTCTGTTTCATACGGAAAACGTTTGCCGGCGTGACGGGACGGGGGGGCGTGAGGCGACTGCTAAAAAAAATCCAAGAGGAAACACTGGAAACTAAATAAAACTTGGTCTTTTCAACAATCACAAACCTTAATGTGGGAAGGCTTTCTCTGTTTTAATTTCTAGTAGTTTATATAGTTTTATCATGAAGCCTCTCAGTCTTCAGCAGGGTGAAGGTTTCCGTTACAGCTCATCTCTCTCTTTCTCACTATAAGAAACTATTTTTAGACTGTTTATGTGTTGGTTTGTCCTAATGGAATGACCAACGGACAGCAGTTACTGTTCCTGCAGAGGTCAGATTGCAGTTTCCAGGAAACAGTACAAGTGTCAAGATTTTATCTTGGAGGTTTGACAGGAAACTTGACAGCTGTTCTCGCCTCAAATATCATACAAAACCCCCCAAAAATATCACAAAGAGACAAAACTGTGCTGCTGAGATTGCTGTGTGGAGATTGTATTTCAACCTGAGATATTGGAAGTTTGACAGGAAACTTGAGATGGAAAAACCCACAAAAAAGCCAAACAAAGAGTGCCAACCTGAAAACAGGAAATGTTAGTTTCAGAGTTGTTTTTTTAAGTTTTTTAAAATCTTGCTTCATGAGTGTCTTCAAAACACTTGTGACAGTCACAGCTGCTAAATGTTAAAGGATGCATATTCAGGGATTCTAAAGCTGTAAACACAACATCAACTATATGTTATATGTAATAATATTTTGTAAGCTGTATATTATACAGCTGAAACACAGCAACATCATCCCATTGACAGTGTCACTATTTACTGGTGGGCTTGATCAAGACAGTTAAAATCAACACGTTTGTCAAAATACATAAGTCAGTATCATGAATCGCGTTAGTTGGGGAAGCTAACGTTAGCCAACTAAGATATCCACTCAGATAGTATTTTGCTAGCAATGACGTTAGCGAGCAAGCAAGCTATGGTGTGAATAATGTGTGAAAATAAAACGTAAAATGCTTCAGAATCTGACATATGGAGCCTTTAAAACTATAAAATGACTTGAAAACATTCAACTACAGATGGTAGGGACAGGGAAAGATCTTAATGTCCAGAGAAATGTTGTGAATTCTTCTGTCCTCTGGTTTTGAGGTTGGGACAGTCTGTCCTGCAGCCTCATGCCTGTCTGTCTGTCAGTCTGTTTAATGACTGAGGTACGTTTACTGGGTGAACCTCTGAGCAATGTTTCCACATGCTAAAAATACCAGCAGCAGCAGAGTAGCGCCGTTCCATGCGGGTCGTCCTCTCAGGTTGGCATTACACCCTGCAGGACTCAGCCAGAGCAGACGTGGATGCTGTTTTGACGAAAAAGACGAACCTTTCAGAGGCTTTCCTCAGTACCAGTTTCCGTCTGAGCCTGCTCAGTTGGACTTTTTCCAAGTCAGACACACACAAACCTGCAGTCTCCATATTCAATGAGGTTTTAGGTGGAAAGAACGTCTCCAATCTTCAAAATACAAACAAGTTCTGATATTCTTTACTTTTGGACAATGCTGTCCTCTTCCTGTTCTGGATTCTGACAGTGTCCCACTCAGCTCAGGACCGGCCTCATTCGTAACCTTACTGCAGACAGAGCTGGAGGATCTGGCAACCTCACTGCACCGCCGGTCCCACCAGACCAGAACCTCGTACCTGTACCACCACCATCGCCCCTACCCTCGCCATGTAAACTGGAAGTGGAGCTCCTCTTTTGAGAAGGCTCTCTTACGGATGCTGTGCCGAACGTTCTCATGAGAAACGAGTTTAATGTCGACACGTTTGTTTGCACTTTATGGTTTCTGGTCGACGCAGAACCAAGACCTTCAAGATTATCTGTAGAATTCTAGTTTTCAATTCAAGTCCAACTGTTTCTCCACGTAGTTTTGCCCTTGAAGACAGCACAGAATTATATTCTTGAAGGACTTTAATGTTTCGGAATATTTCTCCACCAGTTTGCTGGTGATAAAGGGGACTAAAGACTAACAGAGCCAGAAATCCATCTGGGTCCTATACTTGTGGATTAAATAAAGTCTAGGGATGAGAGAGCTGCTTCCCATCCCAGCGAGGCAGCAGAGAGAGCGGATCACCAGCCTCCCTGCTCCTTCCTCCTCCTCCTCCTCCTCCTCCTCCTCCTCTTCCTCCTCCTCCTTCCCCATCACCTCCTTCTCCATCCAAACCTCCAAGAAGTTCCCGTTCTTCCATGTGGTCAAATGCTGCAGGTACAGTACGACGTCTGGTGGTTTGATGAGTTTTAGGCTGAGATACCAAACATGTACCTGCTCTGCTGCTCGACTTGTGTTCCTGTAAAGTGGTTCATCTTTGATGTCCCGAAAAAGTATGACTTTCCTGTGTTCAGTGAATGCACCCATGTGTTTTGTGTTCCAGATATGAGGCGGAGAACGCCTTCTTCTCCAGTCTGAAGCTGACTGACTTCAACATCATTGATACGCTGGGAGTCGGCGGCTTCGGACGCGTCGAGCTGGTATGATCTGATTCTTTCATTATATAATTACAGAAAATGAGATTACACCGACAGGTTGATCTAAATTCACTGACAGGTAACAAATAAGAAAGATTTCCATCTACCTGTGACACAGAGATTGCGGGTATCTGAGCAGGAAATTTCTGATTAGTTTAAAAATGGTTTCAGGGCAGTAAAGACAGTTTTACATCTGTTTCACATCATTTTAAAATGTACTTCAGATGGGTTTAGACCAATTTGTATTGGTTTGACACCAAGTTTTACATCTGTTTGAGATTATTTTAAAATGTTTAGATTAGTTTGAAACCAGTTTCAAGTTAAACACCAGTTTGAAAAATTGGTCTGAAGCCAGTTTTTACCCAAATTTGCCTAAAATGTAAGAATACACGATGTATTCTTACATCAATCAATTTCAGATTATTTTAAATATTATTATTTTAAATAAACAATGTATTCTTACATCAATTTCAGATTATTTTAAAACCAACCTCAGATTGAGTTGAGAACAGTTTGAGATTAGTATTAGGAATTTTTTTTTGACCAGTTTAACGTTTGTTTGACATCAACTTCAGGTTCCTTTCACACCAGTTTTAAATCAAGAAGTTTGAGGCCAGTTTCACACATTTTCCAGCTGGATTTTCTGAAACAAACTGACATTGTTGAGCCATTTTTAAGGTTCAGATTTCACAGTCCAGAGGTCTGCACAGTGTGTGTGTGTGCACTCAGTTATTTGCAGTAACTTTCGAGTAAAGTTTCAGTGCTGGTAACTGGAAACCAGTGGTCATGTGATTCACGGTCTGGGCTCTCTCTGAGGTTCTGTAAGGAACCAAAATAACCTCAGTGAAACCGCTGTTTGTATCTCCTCTTTGTGCGCTCATCACGCTGCAGCTAACTTATAATTTTTCACTCATAAAAAGCTCCTCAGATATTACATTTATGGGCTTTAATGAGTTTATTTTGTCTTAACGAGTTTCTCTGAGACTTAAAGAGTTCATCAGATAATTATCAGCAGAGCTTCCTTCGCCTCTGTTGCAGCCAGCTGTATTTTATTTTATTTATTAGATCATATTAATTCCCTCTGTGTGCACAAGGTGTGAGACGGATGGAAAAAGCAAAGGAGGGTGGGATGTAAGTGGTGGCGCACTGCAGCCCCGGGGTCGGGTTTCTCTGTCGCAGGAGGCGGGGTTTGAGGGTACTGAAGGTCAGAGGGGAAGCCCTCCAGAGGGTTTGCCCAAAAGCAGGAAGGAATCCCTGCTCAGGGTCTCCCATCACCCCTCTGAAGATATTTATAGTGGGTTAGTCATCGTGTAAATCTGATCTGAGGAAAAATCTGACCCCTGACCTCCAGACTGCTGGTCTGACCATGAACATAACTCTTGTGCAGGTTCAGAACAGCAGAACTTTTGTGGAGTATTATTATGGACATTACATTTCCATATGTTTGAGAGACCTCCACTAGACTGGAAATGTTCAGGGATGTTGGGGACTATTTTAAGCGGCGGATTAATGCACATTTGGTGCTCCAGTAAGTATTTGGTCGGTGTATAAATAAACTACAGTGTTCATGGTAATGAAGGAACAACTGGAATGTTTCTAAGGGAGCTCTGTGACACAGAGGAAGAAGACCTATCAGGCTGTGATACACAAACATTACTTGTTCACTGTTGAGTCTGAAAATAAGGAAACATGTAGAATACTTCCTGTACCTCCTCTTTAGGTGCAGCTGAAGAACGAGGAGGCGAAGACGTTCGCCATGAAGATACTGAAGAAGCGTCACATCGTCGACACGAGACAACAGGAACATATCCGCTCTGAGAAACACATCATGACCGAGGCGCACTCCGACTTCATCGTCAGGTCAGTAGAACAATAATCATCATGATCATCATCATCATCATCATCATCAAAACATTAAACTACAGAAGTGCATTACTGCACGCCAGGAAAAGGAAATCGTATCAGTATCACATTATAGCCTGAAAACTATTGTTGTAACAAGATTTTGTTACGACTTTTTTACTATAAAAATAAACAACAACACATTTGAAAAGTTTAACGTTATAACTTGAATAAATTATATTGTTATAACCACATAGAAAGATATATGAACTTTCTCAGACGGAGAGATAGATGTCTTAGTCTCAGTAGCTGTCCCTTTCCTCACTGTTTGTGTTCAGGTTGTACCGGACATTTAAAGACAGTAAATATCTGTACATGCTGATGGAGGCCTGTCTGGGAGGAGAGCTGTGGACGATACTGAGAGACAGGTACACAGTTCACCAATCCTCTACAGACACATTTGTATTATTATTATACTGTTAAGAAACACTTTGGTCTACTCAGAGTCGCTTTTGAAACTATTTTCATGGATGTAATGAAAGAATGTTTGACCGGAAAAAAGGTGCTGAAACAACAAGAATCAACAACAACAATTAGTTATCCATTTAAGTAAATTATCAAGCAAACACTCAAATATTTTCTGGTCAAATGAGATTTTCTGATTTCTGTTGTTTTAAACTGAATTTCTTTTGGCTTTCAGATACAACAAGACATTTAAGATCTTGGACTCCTTTATAGAATCTGTACTATAACATTAATCATCAGATTAAGTCATAATAATTATTCTTTTAAAAGTTACTTGCAGCCATGAACACACTCCAGCCAAAGGGCAGAAAGAACTCTGAGAGCTGTCGGTGTCTCATAGTTTTTTAACTCTGTGTCTTTCAGGGGTTCGTTTGAAGATTCAACCACCAGGTTCTACACAGCCTGTGTGGTCGAAGCCTTTGCCTACCTGCATGCCAAAGGTATCATATACAGAGACCTGAAACCTGAAAACCTCATACTGGACAGCCGGGGATACGCCAAGCTGGTAGATAAATATTTAGAAACCAGCATTCACTCACATTTTCTTTAGCCAATTTACTAAAAATTCGGTTAAAACTTGTGAAACATGGCTAGAGGGTTTGACGTGATCAGAGAGGAAATAATTAAAATACAGTGAATGTGGAAAGAACTGTTCAATCAATTTTGTCTTTTCCAGGTGGACTTTGGTTTCGCCAAGAAGATCGGCGTCTGTAAGAAGACGTGGACGTTCTGCGGAACCCCAGAGTACGTCGCTCCAGAGATCATCCTCAACAAGGGTCATGACGTCTCAGCAGACTACTGGTCTCTGGGCATCCTGATGTATGAGCTGCTGACGGGCAGGTGAGGACACAAACAGAGGACGGACTGTACCAGAGTCAAACTGCTGTAGTTCAATGTCCTTCAGTGTCTCTCTGTGTCTTCAGTCCTCCATTTTCAGGTCCAGATCCGATGAAAACCTACAATATCATCCTGAGAGGCATCGACATGATCGAGTTCCCCAAGAAGATCACCAAGAATGCCGCCAACCTCATCAAGAAGCTCTGCAGGTAGGTGGTGCTGATGAACATTAGTGTCAATGTTCATTGTTTTCATCTCCAAAATAAATCACTGAAATGTAACTGCTTGTGTCAACAGAGATAACCCCTCAGAGAGACTCGGAAACCTGAAAAACGGAGTCAAAGACATCCAGAAGCACAAGTGAGTGAGTTGAGAGGAAGCTGTTTGTGAAAAAGAACTCCACATACATTTTCCATAAAGTAAAGTCAGTAATAGTCAAAGCTCAACTTCCAGCTGTATCAGCTGTCACCTGTCTTTCAGTTTTGTGTGCATCTAAATACCAAATGAAGCTAATCTCTCTCTGTATGTGTTCAGGTGGTTCGAAGGTTTTAACTGGGAGGGTCTGAGGAAAGGAACTCTGACTCCACCGATCACACCTGATGTGAGTTTAAATAAACGTAAATTGTTTTTGGCATAGAGGCCAAACTCTTGTTTCCTGATTCTTATTTTAAGATGATTATACCCTAATGAAAACCTATGAATATTATATTACATTTCTGACAATAGATCCTCCTCAATGTTACACACTGGAACTTTAAAGGCAAAATAACCAGAATAGAAAAAAGGACTCAAGATAAACAAATGCAAAAATATCCAATATCCAATATACTTTTATCTGAGTCAGTTAACAGTCTAAAAATGCTGGTGTTTAAACGAAATCTAAGAGGACCAAACTTCCTTTGTTCAGTTTCTAGGTGTTGATAGTCTGACTCCATGTTGTTCTGTCCAGGTTTCTTCTTCGACGGACACCAGTAACTTTGACAGTTTCCCTGAAGACACAGACGAGCCGCCACCAGACGACAACTCTGGTTGGGATTATGATTTTTAATCCATCTGACATCCAAACCCAAAGCCTGACACCCTACAGCTGCTGCTGAGGTCCAGATCTGAGAAAAGGGTGATTTCTCACCTGGCTGAACAAAAAGACAAACTTCATGTGCCGATTGGAGGATGTTTTCGCCTGGAGCACTTTGCCTGCGTTGTTTTTAAGCATGGATGGGCACTGTTTGGACCCCAAATGTTTTGTTGCCACATTGTGTCACCAAATGATTTGAGTACTGAATGTGCAGAAGGCAACAGAAGGTACAAGACTGGAGACCTCTTGATTGTCAAACTGGTCCAGTCTGTTTAACTGGAGGAACCCTGATGTGCCAGGACACCTGAGAGCTGGAAGATGAGGTGGTCCCAGGATGAGACAAACTTCACTTCAACAGTTTGATCCTTTTTCCAAGATTCTCAGAGAAAGAAATAGGTCCTAGAAATTACAGTGACACATGCCTGGTTCAAAGGGCTACAAGCATGTTCTGACTTTTACAATTTCATCCAAGCTTATCCAGATTTTAGATAGCTGTCAGAACTCTGGAACATAATCACTCCATCCACAGAAATGTGCCCACGAGGCAGAGAAGACATTTTTGCAATGCCTAGGAGTGTTTCTTTGAACAACCCTGATTCCTTGTTTGGCTACAGCTGAACATCCATCAGCAGTCCGTCCCACAGTGTGGGTCCTGCTTTATGTCCCATAAATTGCTGCAACACAATTGTTTATCAAGTATTTAATAGCAGGAAATCCGTCCTCCAGTAACACATACCATTCATGGTACCTTCTTACAGAAATAAGGGTACAAGCATGTTCTTAATTTTAGGCAAAGTCATCCCAGTTCCTTAAGATTGCAGAGAGCTGTCAGAGCTCTGGAACATAATCAAGAAAAATGTGCCAACGATGCAGAGACGACATTTTTGTGATGCCTGGGAGTGACTGAGAAACATGAACCCAGAACAACACAGATTCCTTGTTTGACTGTGGCTGAACTTTGGGTATTTTCACTCTTCAGCAGTCACTCACACAGCACAGGCCTTGCTTTTTGTCCCATATACTGCTGCAACAAAGATAGCCTGGATGGTAGTTGACAGCATCAGGGAAGCCACCAGAGGCTGAATCTAAAGGGGGTCAGAGCAGATTTTGTCACAAAGTGCTTCCTTGAGGAACAGACGAGGCTGAATTATCAAACCAGCAAAGTGGGCAAGTGTCTTATTTAGGGGCTCTCTGTTAATATCTAGTTTTAATACCTTAAAAGATTTCCATTAATATTACGCTAACATGGTGCATGTCCTGAGATAACTTCTGTTATGAATTGGCGCTATACAAATAAAATTGAATTGAATTGAATATCCTTCAACAGATTTATGGTTAATCAAATGGACATACAACCGACCTGGAGTAGGATAGTGTGTAGAGATGCTGTTTGGTTTCTGGGACTTTCTGGTTGGAACAGGTTGGGGAAATGTTTAAGGTTGGGGTCTCAATGTGACCCACGGCTTGTTTTTGCCCAAGGGCCCCCTAGTAGGTTCACCCAACTCTGGCAACAGAGGACCTAACATGTTGGAGAATAATCAGACAGTGAAATCAGACAAAGCCTTTAATAGTCCCTTCAGATACCTCCTAATCCGATCCAAGCCAATGGAAAGCCTCTGCTGCTGTCAAGTGTCCTTGATCACTGGCTGACACTTGACCTTTCACCCCTTAGAGGGTGATCATACTTCTGCTACTACTACTGCCTGTCCTGTGATATCTGGTGCATGTGTTTAGTGGTCTGGAGGCGGTTCTGGACGTCCCTATGAACCCAGCATTTGCTCCCAGAAAGCATGCTGGAGGTGTGATGGTTGCAGGATGAATTTGTGGTCCGAGTGACAAACAGATGCCACACAGCACGGGAGGAAAAATGAACCTAAGATTGAACAGACAAACTCAAGGTCACCATGATGCCTTCACTTATCATTTCATTTTCGGGAACTTTAAAATCCAAAGACAGAAAGACGTTTGGGTGTAGCAGTTGTGGTCCTCCTCAGTGGATGATGAGTGGTGATATGAACATTTCTACTTTTAAACTTTCCTTTCTATCATTCTTAATGTTGTGAATTTTTGGATCATAGTATGACAACTAGTATGAGATATTTTGTACATATTTCCAACACTTCCTACATATTTTTGCACACACCTACAAACACTCCACTCTTATAGACACATGCACGACTTGATTGAATTTCTTATGAGCTGTTTGTTTCAAGGTGTTTCAAAGTTGAGCAAGTTTCAGGATTGTTTCTATCTTGTGTCCAAGGCTTATGATATACTTGCTTTTTGATAACCTGGTTCCAAACATCTGAACCACCACCCCAGTCTGATGATGCGCTCATTGACGAATTTAAAAATTGTCTTCTTGTGACAGAGACCATGAAGGTTAAACAGTTCTCCAGGATTTTGCGGGCAAACGCTTTGTGCACAAAAATACAATCAAAATATCTTGTGAGAACTGAGAAGGTTTTGGTTTAGATAAAAAACAAGTGTGAATCCAGCCCATTTTGAAGCCTTGAACTGGACATTATGGTTGTCGCCAGCAGCGGTGACATACTGCAAGTTGAGCTGCTCTCATTGGCTGCTCTTGGAAACAAAGGCGGCTCGCCTGGCCAGGTTCCAGATAAACAGTAAAATATGTTTGTGAACACATTTGAGGAGAGAAATAGTCAACAACAGAATCTGGATCCATATGTCTGATCAGCACTGCCTAGTTTGACAGTTTGATCTGAGTTTGGTGCGTTGAGCTGGACGGACTCACTGAGAATGAGCTGTCAATCACAAGTTAGCCCCGCCCTAAAGCATACCCTGCTTTATGGTCCATTTTACTCTATATGGGACCATCAGTTACTAAATGAACATCATGCTGTATGGAAGAAGACTGAAACTAGAGACTGAGACCAGAAACTCATCAACTGTTTACTGATAGAAAGAATGCAGGTATTAAGATATGTCACAGACCTGGATGTCCTCTAATCAGTGGAAGGAATGCAGGATTCACAGGGTTAAAAGCAAGTATATCTGTGCTCTAAAACAGACTGAAAACCTTCATACTTCAAGATAATTATTACTTACAGTACTAACAGTAACTCCACGACAAAGTGGACATTTAGAAATGTTGAGTTGAAGTACATGTGCAGTCTTTGAGGTTTGAGGTTGGAGTTTAACCTTAATTGATCTATTTATTTCGAATTGTATTTATATTTTGTGGCCTTTTGTAAGCATCTGATGGTGGTCTCACTTTGGTATGAAGCCTTTGTTGTGACATTTTTGTAATCTGATCAGTGATGTGACTTCTTTGAGCTCTGCATGAAAATACTGGAAACAATGTGCTCAGTTTTCACCACCATAGGGACACCGTTTTTAAACATTTTAGGAAATGTTCTCTTTATTTCTGAGAGAACATCAATCCCATGTCAGCTTGCATGGTTGCCTGGAACTATTTCTTGGTGGGAAGCCATTGAGGGATTGTGTCCTTGTTGATTAAAGTAAAAAGAACAAAAAAAAAAAAAAAAACTGTCAACATTTCTAATGTGAAATTTAGGCAAGGGAAGAGTAATAATGTGATTACACAAGCAAACAGTTGATTTAAATGTTGAGCTGTCAACGGTGAAAATAGTAATCAGAGCAAAAACTGATTAAAAAAAAATTTGCGGACCAGAAGAAGAAATATTGGTGTTCATATTGATTCTTAGCGATGATATTTTGTGGTTATGAGTTTGGATGATGAAGCTATTACAGATTTATTTGTATATACTTGGAATATAGTGCTTTACGATGTCTCAGCTGTTTGTAGATCATTATTATTATTATTATCATTATTATTATTACAGTGGCTGCTATGGTAGCTAAAGAAACTTTCGCTCTGTCTCTCATTCAGAAAAGCTTTATGGGCATGACTGTTAAAAACAAAACAGAAGAAAAACAAGTTTGCCAAAGCAGTTTGATCTGTCTGAAAAATAAAAACTGTACGAAAAAACAGCAACTGGGCTTTGTTTCTCATTTCATGTTGTTTGAAGCTTGTCATCCACAGAACAGTAATTCTGTTCTCTCTGCAAACTCTCAAACTTGGTCAAAATTACTAACAAGCGTTTTCTAAAAGTTGTACTGAGAGTTTGGGCATATACAGAACACAATGAGCAGCAATAAACTGACATTTCCTCCATTTGGCTTTGGCCATCACGCACCGACCATGAAAGAAACTCCCTGTGGACAAACTAACTACAAACAGATAAGTAATTCTTCTTTGAGGATTATTTATATGCTAAATTTATCCAAAGACCCGAAATGGTAAAAAAAAAATATCTCAAAGCTGCATTTATTAGTTCCCATAACCAAGGTTGCGTAAATTCTGATGATTTCTAAAGGGACTCTGGTGAGCCATTCCCCAAGCACACCCTGCTTTAAAAATAAAATACAGACTGATACACGCTAATAAACATTATAGAGTTTTAACAGCTACGATTCAAAATCAAGAATTCGGCCCAAAAACAACTGAAAAGATTATTAACACCAAATCAGTTTTTTTCTGCAATAAAAGTGTCAATAAAGCAGACTAAATTCACTTTTTTCTGTTGACAGTCTCTGCATCTGAGCGAACTATGACAGAAACCAGCGAGCAGTGCAATAAAGTGGAAATTACATTGTCACGTTGTAATTAAGCATCTCCTGCAGGATTTCCTAATGCTGTGTTTTGCAGACGACCTGATTGCTTTAGAAAATAGGAGTCTGGCAACCATTTTATCAAATCGCTGGTAAAGATTGTCAGCAGGCTACATGCGGTAGATACTTTAAATGTTTCTGTTCCGTATATGATTCATTTTATTCATCCTTGCAGCAGATTATTGAGTTTCTTACTGCCGCAGCAGCTGCAGGTGTTTCTCTTCCTCTGAGAAGTGTGAGTGAATTTTGTGTCAGACCTTAACTGCAGGATTCTGCAGAAACAGGAGACAGAAGCTTGTATATGGAATCATGTTCATTTTACTGATTATTAAGCAGTTGAAAGCTGGATGCCACAGGAAAATCAGACCACAACAGATTAATCAGTTTCCTTTCTGTTCTTACTGATCTTGTTCAACGGCTACATTAAGAGTCAGAATGCTCACAGTGAACTTATTGTGCACAAACATAAGAAACACTAAGCGTCTGCCTGATGGAAGTGTTATACAGACCGCTTTGTTTTTGTCACTTCTGCAGTTCCTCTAACGTCCACTAGAGGCTCCAGCAGTGAGTCAGTCAGTGTTTACAGCCTGTTGGTCTCTAGAGATCATTTCCCTGTTCATGACAGCTGTACAACTCACCCCTTTGAATTATATTATATTTAGTTATTTAGTTTAATCATACCCAACCAATATCCAGTAATCACTGATCACGTGAAAAATGAGGCTCTTTTGCCCCGGAGCATGCTGGGAAGCTTTCCCACACACCTGCCTTTTTTACACGACAGTATCTAAACCTTCTTTTCTGTCTTGATTTCCATCCTTATTTTTCTTTTGGGCGACTTTAGTCCACAACGTTTAGAGTTGTAGGACTTTCAAAGGGAAGTGTTGACCATATTTGGAGTCGTTGGGGGTGTGGCCATATGTAAATGGTCATTTGCATACAGGTGAGATTTATCAGCTATGTCAGAGATTAAAGCTCACATTGGACTATCAGAAACAACTTCAAGGTGAAATAAAAGAGAAAACAAGACGTTAAAGGGTTAAACTGCTGGTGTGTGTGTGTAAGCAGGCACGTAGCTACTCCTCCTCCTCCTCCTCCTCCTCCTCTTCCTCGCTTTTTTATGAATGAGATTTAAACACACAAGCAGTGATGTCAGCAACAAGCCCATCCCCCACTGATGCGGGAAAAACCTCACGATCACAAAGAGAGAGAGAGAGGCACCCTCATGTTTCCATATGTCTCTCTACCTCTCTCTCCCCCCCACCCATCTCGGGAGAGCGTGCGAACACCTCCTCTCCTCCTCCCCCCTCCCTCCATCCTCCCTCCTCTCTCCTCCACGAGCCCGAGGATGAGTAATCCAACGAGGGAGGGCGAGAGAGGCGGAGAACTAACGGGAGAGAGAGAGGGAGAAAGGGGGGAGCGAGGGAGGAAACCAGCGCAGCATCAGCATCATCATCATCATCATCATCAGTGAACGTGCAGAACGAGAGGATGAAAATTCAAAACCTTCCAGCTCATCCTTCACACCGGAGATGGCTAATTCCTGGACACATGCTGGAAACCCAAGGAAGAAGGTGAACTGATATTTCTAACTGGATTATAATTCCCACATTTACTGGAACTGGCTAATTGCTGGAAAGAAGAGAGGTTAAGAAAAAACAAAACAAAGGAAGAGGGAACGTTTGTATTTCTCTTTCTAATATTCATTTGTATAAGGATCGTAACTGACTAATCTCTGGAAGAGCTGGACAAGTGGGAGGCAGCATGCCTCGTTTCATTGGATGATACCTGACTAATAGCCACATCTTTTAGAGTGTGGGGACAGACTACATCCTGAACGGCATCTGTGCCACTCCTCCACATGTGGTATTGCAGAGGCTGGGATCTGGCTAATATCTGGAATTCTTGATTCATAACAGTGCCCTAAGAAACTGGACTCTCCTCTGTATTGTGGGTCTACACACAGCCTCCCCCGGGACCAGGTTAATCTCTGGAGCGTGTCTGGCATGTTTTGCTTCTGCCTGCAGAGTTCGCTGCTGAAGCTCCAGGCGCTGGAGGTGGAGGGGGGCCCCTCGCTGGGTCCGTCCCCAGAGGAGAGCCCCCCTGCCCTGGGCAGCAAGGAGCAGAAGAGCCCCTGCGGCCAGGTGGAGCTCGGAGGGAAGGAGGGGAAGACGCTGGCTGTGTGCCACAGCGTCCCTGCTGATGAGAACAGCCCGCCAGGTACATTCTGCCTGTCTGTCTGCCTATCTGTCTCACCTACACTCATCAGGTCAACATGTTCTCTCCTTTCCAGAGTCATTCTGTCCTCTTTACAAATCCATGACGTGAGTTGACACTCCCCCAAACTACGGCTCAGTGTTTCCATCCTCCCTTTCATTCATTCACACCCCTCTGCTGAAGCTTCGCTAGGAAAATGCTAAGGTAGCAGTGCAAACAGACTACAGTTTAGCTAAAACAGGGTGTTTCTCTGTAAGTGCTTCACTGATTTCATTCTCCTGACAGTAAATATTCATCAGTGTGCTGTTTCTGATGACTCTGCTCATTCTGCACAGCACGCCAGCAGCCACGATCCGTGAGTGCTGCTATTTATAGTGCAGCATGCAGACGTAAAACACTCTGCAGCACGTGAGACACACTGACTCACCGCCGTTACACTCGAAATCTGCTCCTACACAATTCAGCTTCCTTTCATGACAGTAAGAACAAATTCATATCAAACAATCAACCGTATTGTTTATTATGTTCTTTATTTCATTCATTCATCTCATTTCAGGCAAGGTGCCAAACCAGTTTCACTGTGGCTCTGTTGGTCCTTGCAGAAGTTCTGTTGGTCCTTCAGCTGATTTATGGGGTGGTTCTACATCCTTACAGTTGTTCTTGCAGACACTGACAAGGTTTCAGAGGTTCTTTATGTTGTTCTAGCGGACACTGAGTTCTAGTGAAGCTTCTAGAGGTTCTTTAGGTGGTTCTCTTGGTCACAGATCTTTTGGGTGGATTGTTACTGTGGAGCTTTTAGAGATCCCTATGGTTGTTCTTGTGGGCACTAACCAGGTTTTAGAGGTCCTTTAGGTATTTCCAGAGGTTGTTTTGGGTAATTATATAAAATCTGCATATGAGGAATTATGACTGTTGACAAGTAGCGTACATTAATAAACCCTTAAACATGTGCTTACATTTGTTAGAACTGCATTACAGCGAGTTATTAACAGTCATTAGAGGTGTATATATGGATTATAAATGTTAAATAAGGGAACTTATATGACTTAATATTAATATTTGTGTGTCTGCAGAGCTGCTGACAGTCCTGACCAGACCTCCGCAGTCTCCAAGACACCATCCGTTAACTGCCATCCACCCTGGCCAGCAGCCCCTGACCCCTGACGGAGCGCTGCCCCCGAGCCCTCACCACTCCCCCTACTCCCCCCAGAGGAGCAGCCCCGGAGGTGAGGCAGGAGGAGGGGGAGGAGATGGAGCAGGTGGAGCTCTCCTCCAGCTGCTAGCAGGCGGTCCCAGCCCTCTGCCCTCCCCCCGCTGCTCCAGCATCAGCCACAGGTTCAACTCCGACCCCGACACAGCACCATCACCGCCCTGCAGCCAGCAGTACATACTGTGAGTCTCAGCTGTCTGTCTGCTAACTCGTCTGTTTACTGGTTTGGGACTAGACTGGGAACCTTTTAGTTATGACTATGGACCATTGGGTCTTACCTTGGAAACTGACTTGGGTCATGTGGTCTTGAACTGGAATAAACTTCAGACTTTGTGCTTTGACTTCAGACTAGACATGACCCTAAATTAATTGGGGCTAATCTTGGCACTTGTCGGTCTTGATTTGGGAATAAACCTGACCCTGAATTAGGTCTAAACTTGGGATTTGTTATTCTGGACTTAAAAGTTACAATTCTCTTTCAAACAAAGTTTTTTTGCATCGGAAAAAGATTTTGATATAAAAGAAGTCAAAATGATTTGTGTTATTTATTTATTTTTAGATAAATCAACATTAACACAGAAACACAAGATTAAAATGTATGTTTTATTTCTCGGTGTCCTCAGTGGTTTAGGAATGACGTGTTCAATGTCCACATACTTTTGGCCGTGCAGAAGACGTTGGAGTTATCAAACATCTGTTCTGTGTTATAAGCGACGCCAACGTTATCCAGTCCCGTGTTTCGGAGTAAGAGAGGACAGATTTCTATTAGTGGAGACGTTCTAATGGAAATCTAACGATACTCCGGTTTGTCTCAGTTCAGCCCCACAAACATCCTGTTCCAGGATTTCTGTGAATTAAAGTATTTTTAAAAAAAAATCAGAGTACAGTTTGTCCTGTCTGCTGCATTAAAACATCTTATATAATCCACCCTCTTCTGTTCTCTGACCCACAGCCTGAAGCTGAAGGTTCAAATGTGTTGGTGACCCAGTTTCTGGTCTTTATGTCTCTACTACAGTCTGCTTCCTCTCCTCTCTTTATTGCTTACTGAAGACACCAACAGTAACTCCACCTCCTGTATCTTCTGCGTCTATTCAAAGTATTTTTCTTCTCATCACTAAATCTCCTGTTCAGACCTTCGACATATATAAAGATGGATGACATGACAGCTCTCCCCTGGTGGCTGACTGCAGTATAGCTTATAAAGCCCACTGACTCCATGTAAGCAGGTGGGACAAACTGAAAAAATCTAAGTCAGATAAATTTTTCCCAAAGATAGTTTTAGGACCTCGATACTGTGGCACCAGGCTAACAGGCTACAATATGACGTGAAAAATCAACATAAAGAATATTTTCCGATCAGGTACAAACGCGTAGTGTTCATCAGTAAACATAATCTGTCTGTCTGTCTACCTGTCTGTGTCTGTGTCCAGGTGTCGGGGTCGGGACAGGCCGGAGGGGTCTGAGGACGAGTGTCCCTCCTCCATCCCGTTCCTCAGCAGACAGATTCAGACCTTGAAGAAGAAGGTCCGCAGGTTCGAGGATCAGTTTGAACAGGAGATGAACTACAAGGTGAACACAGTGTGGACTCCAATCCACAATCAAATCCAGGACCCAGAGGGCTGTTAATGTTAATTCATTCATTGCAAAGGCAGCAACTACAGGACGTAAAGAACCCTGTAACTTTGTTTTGAAAAGTATAAATAAAGTTTTTGCAATTATTATATATTATTATTAGTATTAGCAGTAGTATTTAAAAGTATTATTTAAAGGGAATTTAACACTAAATCACATGAAATTCAGTCAGAAAATAAGATGGCAGCTACTGTGATGTGTTAAGCTACCTACCTTTATGCTAAGCTAGCTATTTTTAGCAGGAGTTTAGCCGCTAAATTTCATAGAACAAACAAACCAAAATGTTCATTTATCAAAATGGTAATTTTCCATTTACATAGAACAAATCAGTGATTTAACTTAGCTTTACTTTTAGCCAGCTAGCTGTCATTTGACGTAGCCTTCTTATTTAGCTTATTTAAGACTTTGGTCCAGTTTTTTTTTTACTTCTTGTTGATGGTTTTGTGATGTGTTTCTCAGCCGTCCCACAACGATAAATACTCCAACCCAGAGATGATCCGAGTGATGAGTGAGCTAGCGAATGCTCGCAAACAGCTCAAAGGTAAAACCATCAGTCTGGTCTGTTAATGCACAGATCAGTTCACTTATCTAGTGACTGATATCCAGACAGTCTCAGACACCGTTTTCATCCCACCTGTGAATGTGGAAGCGTTTCCGTTGAATGTGTACTAAGGTACTGTGTGTCCTCTGCAGAGCTGAGACTCAGGCAGTCGGTGTTTGAGTCGAAGGAGCCGGAGGGTCCTGAAAACAACTGCAGGTAACACCCACACATCAGTGCACATGGACACAGCGTGTATATAGTCAGTATATCGTCAGTATATCGTCAGTGTAAATGTGTCCTGCAGGTACATCTCTGGCCAGCAGGGGGCATCAGAGCACAAACCCACACAGGAGGAAACGGTGGAGTCTCTGTTCAGACGACTGAGAGAGAAGAGACAAGCTCTGGGACTGCCGGAAAACATGAAGGTAACACAACTTTCACTCACGCACCCTCACCAAACCCTGTTCATTTTCTGCTCGGTTTTATTCGCCCTCTTCTGACAGTCTGCTCTGCATGTTCATTTATATGACTGAAAGTACTGAGGTGAATGACAATGCTCAGAATTAGTCAGTTTATGTTTTTGTTTTTGTACCCGGATGGAGTTGAGTTTTTGTGATGGATTCAATTTTGGCATATGATGTTAAATAGAGGTACAATATGACTGTGGATGTGATCTGTAAGGGTTGTGTGTGTGTGTGTGTGCAGGAGATGACTCAGGCTCAGATGGTGCTGGAGAAGATCACTCTGCAGAAATGTCTGCTGTACTTTGAGAGTCTGCACGGCCGGCCGGTGAGTAACAGCAGCATCTAAAACAGCAAAAGAACAAAAGAAGAACAGAGAGTAAATAAACCATCACTGCCACAGCAACCGTCTCTAAAGTTGAACCTTTAATCACATTTGATGACTGATTGATATTTTCAACATCTGCCAGCTTCAACAGCGTTAGTGTCCTGCTCAGATTTAAAAGATTCAGCCAACCGTCTCATGTCTGTCTGTCTGTCTGTCAGGGAACCAAACGGGAGAGGAACCTGGTGAAGCCTCTATACGACAGATACCAGATGATCAAACGTTTACTGTGTGCCAGCCCGACCATCACCACCATAGTGAGAAACACACACACACTCACTACTGTTAGCATGCTACCATTAGCATTAGGACGCCCATCTTGAAACCGGGACAACATGACGAGAAGTGATTAAATCTATCAAGAGAACGAGACCCTGTACAAGCTCCTCAGAAATGTAACTGTCGATTAAATTACCGATGTGCATCCTGTCTGACTGTCAGACTGATCTTATATCTTGCTTGCTCATGGTGGTACTGTTGGGTCTCTGTAATTAATGTTAAAGAGTTCGGTCTAGACCTGCTCTATTTGAAAAGTGTCCTGAGATAACTTCTGTTATGAATTGGCGCTATACAAATAAAATTGAATTGAATTGAATTGAATTGAATTGAATATCTCTCTAAAGTACCAAAATGTCAATAAATCGAAAAGCTTTTGCTAGCCATGAGTCGCAGGACGCCTCTGGAAACTCCTTTAAACGGTCATCGACCTAAAACAAAGACGGATTCGGTCACCGCGTGGATTGTATCTCACTGAAAACTTTCTCACAAACACATAACTGAACTATTTTGGTAATATGAGAGAAAGTTTACTAGCAAGCCATCGTGTGAAATTTCGGAACAGAAAGCGTTTGCCGAATCAGGTGCAGCCAGAAGTGTTTGTGTGGTTGTAGGAGGGACGGACCTTCTGTGACTACAAGTCCAATGTTGGGAAGCAAAGCGTCACCAGAAACGTCTCCGTTCTGCTCCGCCGAGAATAAAGGAAGTCGGATACAGAAATGACACAGAGAATCCAGTCAATTTTCAAAATAAAATACCCGGTGGATGAATGCTTGCTGCTCTGGGAGCGGACAAACCTGGCGGCTCATTTGGACACATTAATCTGAAAGTCAAGGCAGCAGAGGACAATGTCCTTTTTTAATGTCTGTGCAGGGTTAATATATGTTTCCAAAGCCTCCGTTCTCTCCCACTAAATGTAACGTTGAGGATCAGTGTGATGAGACTCTTCATTAATTATGATATTTTGTGTTTTTACTGAAGAAGCCCAGACTTTATTGTGTCCCCCCATTTTTCTGCAGCCAAACTTTGCAGAGGATTTACCCTCAGGACAAACTCTGTAGCTCCACTGATGGTAAACGAGTTGTTTCTCTGTTGTGACTGCTTCTGTGTGTCAGGAGGAAGAGGACGGTTCTGATGAAGACTCAATGAGCTCAATGACCCCAACAGTCATCGAACTTCCCGTCCCGCCTCCGTGCAGAGCGGCCCGAGCGGCTGCCGGCGAGGAGGACAGCGACCGAGACAGCGACCCCGCCTTCGTGTCCCCGTTAGACGAGGTGAAAGCTGTCCATCAGCAGCCTGCACTCACCATGGCCAACCTGCACGAGGCATCCAGGTCGGTGGACGTTTGTGGATGTTATTTTACTTTAAAACAATAATATGTTCCTGCAGTACCGGGAGCTGCATTTTCAGGGCCGCATTTCTACGACCCTAGTTTTACACGATAGTGCCACCTAGCTAAGTCCTAATTTCTGTTAAAGTTTGAAAGGTTTATTCCACCGAAATACCACTTTATCCAAGCACTTATACAGAGTTACATGTTGGACAGTTTGTGTAATTGGCTTATTAAGGTAAGGTCAAATACAAATGGAATCATATGCTATGCCTGTGCAGTCACTAGATCTCTACCAGACATTTGAAAGGTTGGAGAGAGACAAAACAAGGACGACTTCTGTGGACAGATTCAAGATTCTTTTTAATTTTATATAAACAACAAGCAACAAATAAAATTAAAAGTTGCCTCACATTCAGTAACTTTACTCACTCTGATTATCGTCCACCTGCAATCATGTGTCCTTGAAATGCGGTGGTTGGTCATCCAGTTCGGCACAAAATAATTCGATGACTAAGGTCTTACAAACGTGGTCCTGGGATTGTGGTCCTGAAAGTGCAGCCTCTGGTACTGCAGGTGCTACTCCATTCAGAGGCAACTAAGAACTCTCGTCCAGGTGGAGCCTCCATGCTTTTCTCTTTTCATTAGAGTCTGGCATCACATTTGGGGTTAAAATTGTTCTAACTTAAACTCTGTCCTCCATCCAAACCAGGTCTCAGCTGCTGCAGTGTCTGCGGGAGACCAGGTCGGAGAAGAAGACGAGGCGTAAAGCTCTGAGAGAGTTTGAGGACCAGTTTTACCGTCAGACTGGAAGGTGAGAGACAACAACCGGCAGTGGTTTGTTTCTGGTGTTCATTAACAAAAGATATGTGGTCAGTACCAGACCACCTCAGGATCGTGGTGGTTTGTATTCAGAGCTGTCCACGATGCAGCTGTAAACACACTCACTGATACCAACTCTTGTGTTCTTACCGTCAGAATCTGCCAGAAAGAGGATCGAACTCCGATGAAGGAGGAGTACCAGGAATACAAACAGCTCAAGGCTAAACTCCGCCTGCTGGAAGTCCTCCTCAGCAAACAGGAAGTCACCAAAATCATTTGAGAGGAACCAGAAACTTCCTTCAACCCCAAAACTGTCCATGTGATTATGTGAAAGGAGAAAAGAAGATCAGAAAGGAAGCACTCCAGAGTATAGAAACTCATTTATGCACCAAATACACTCCTTTCCATTACGTTTTTAAGCTATATTTGCTGATTCCGTTTTTTTCTGTTTTAATTTGTGCACAACGAAATCCTTGTAGAAGTCGATAAATAAATATTTTTCTTTAATTCATTTTAACTCTCGGAGAGTTAGATGCTTTGATTGATAAACCTGCTAAATATGAAGCTACAGCCAGCAGCTGGTTAGAATAGCATAAAGACAGGAAAGGTGGAAACAACAAGCCTGTCTGTCCATGCTAACATTACAGTTACTGTGCTAATGTTACGGTAATACGAAACATTAATGCTAGCATTTACATAAACATTTCCATTTGAATTTACCATAACATGCTAAATGCTTCATGCTAACATGCTAATGTTAGACCTATGGCAGTGTTAATATAACATCTTCCGTTCAGACTAGCATGAATAAATGGTTCCATTTGAATGTTAAGATGCTAAATATTTCAAATCCAATGTTTGCTTAGGCAAAACTTAATGCAGAGCAAGAAACATTATAACATACTTAACATGTTAGCATATCACAGGTAATGCTATTTTAGCATTCTACCGTTCCACATACATAGCTGTGCCTAATGTTAGCATGTTAGCATCACATATTTAACATGCATTTAAATGTATACGTTTATAACGTAACAATAACAGACTTCCAGCAACTTCCTCTCCGAACTGAACATTCGTATAAACTGTAAATACTGCAGCAGAGTTTTATAAAGTTTAAGAAGACATCAGATATTTCTTCAGTGCACACCAGCATCACACAGTGGATTTATTTACCTGCATGGTCATGTCTGAATTATTTTGTACAACTTTATTCATTCCAGTCTGCAGATAAGGAGGTTTCTGGAGGTGAAACACGTATTCCTTCCATCTTGTTTGATTTAATGGACCAAAGCGTTTTGTTTGTATATGGGACTCAAACTGAAAGCACTTTAATGTGTCACAGGGGTCAAGACTTTATAAATGGCTTCCTTTAAAACAACATGTAAGATTTATAAGGCGCTTCAGATCTCCACTGAAATGTGTGTGTAGGCTGTTTGGGACAGAGATGCAATGTACAAGTTTATGATACCGTATGTAAAGATATTATTGAAACATAGACATGGATGCACCCATATTCATATGTTAGCACTTACTGCTGAAAAAGGGAATTTATTTTTATCTAAAGTCTAATATTATGCAATGTGGTCTGTTTTTACCAGTCAGTGCTGGCGGAAGTGAACACGTAGGAGAACTTACACATCTGTGTTAAGGGTTTACATCGTACATTTGGTGGCTATATGTTCGTACGTAGTCTCTGAGGTTACATCGTATTGGACATCAGGGCTACTGCGCCGACAGTACTGTCAGTCCCACCGGGAGTTCAGGGGCCTTTTTTGGGATTGTTGTATCCTGACATGCCTGATTTCACTGCAAATTTTCAAAAAAAAATTGCCATGCATGTTGCAATGTTTAATGGTTTTTATTGCTATGAAACTGCAAAAATAGTTGCAATTTTTGTTTTTATATAATTCATTAAAATCAAAAGCAACTTGTTCCAGTGAGAATAAAATCTCACGCAGTTTGGTGACGTGTGGCTCAGTGTTTCACGCAGGGAACTGCTATGATTAGTGAAACAAACAGGAAACTACATTTGGTAAAATTTTAACCATTGATATCAATAGGTAAAACCCTCAACTGCCTAAAACCAAAACCTACGGGGGGACTCAAATTAAAATCCTGAACACCATCCAACCCGACCACCTCCCTGTGACTTTGTTAACCAGAATATAGACGGGTTGAGTAATGGCAACCAGAGACAACGTGAGAAAGCTGAAAAGATTTGTGTTCCTGCCATCTGCAGTAAAATGTGTTGCTGTGTCTCACTGAGAAACAAACATTTCTGTAAGTCCCACAGTGGTTCAATCACTTTCAGTGCACGTCAGTGTTGATTCATGGATTCATGCTGTGATGGTTAAAAAATGTCCCTGTTGTTGTGACGTTCTGGTTTGCTCGACAGATTTCTATAAAGACAAATATAAAATAAATATTTTTGCTATTTACACCATTTTGTCATTTTTATTATATACTGAGGATAATCTATTGTCAGAAATGTAATATGTATAATATTCAAAGGTATTGAAGTTGTTTGGCCAATCTTTGGACTTAAAAAAGCGAACTTTTGGAACCAAAAAGTTTAACAAATGACCCGCATTTTCTGCATATGCTAAAGCATTGTGTGACAGAGCAGCTAACTTCCTATTTAGTGCTTCGCTAACTTAAGGGGAGATAAAATTATTTAATCATGTGGCTCCAATATACTTTAATACTATCAAACTGAATGGATCTGATTCTGATGATGGTGAAAAAAGCGGGGGTGTTGATGTCTGTATGTTTCACAGCTGTTTCTTTCACAATATAAGCTTATGGGAAAATAGTTCTTTGTGCCAGTGTTCATCACATGACGGTGTTCTTCCTGGAAGCTTGGCGAGCACAAGGATTGCACTAATGTAAGCTAATGTCAGCTAGTTTGTGATTGTCTGCCCCGCTCTAATTAGTTTTGTGTGTTTTCTGACCATGTATGAAGTGTTCCAGATATTTCCAGGTTTGACCATTTGACCTGTGTCTGCTTACTATCAGTAAGATTTTGATATTAGAGATCCTCATCTGAACTGCACCTGCACTGCCTCTTTGTCTGCATTTGGGTCCAACCTGTTGTTCTCCTGGTTTTCTTGCTTTAATGGTGTCTGAACTGTTTTTAAATAACCCAAGAAATCAAAATCAGATAAAAATGAATTTGTGAATTCAAGCATGGTGACACATGAAGGATGACAGTTGTTTTATTACAGTAGGATGATTGTAAAACAGTTTTAGGAAACACCAGAGTTGTCACATAAAGTCCTTTCTTTATGGTGATGATCTTGGTGATTTCACTGATAGTAGAAGCTGGCGGCAACTTTAAAGACGTCGGATGTGCCTTTGTACGGTGTAATGACGGGTCGCAGACCTTTCATCTGCTTGTAGTGTCCGAAGTGTCTGATCCTGTAGGAGCCGCTGGGGGCTGATGGAGGAATGTGCCACTCGACTGTGGAGTTACTCTGCCGGTTCGAACCCTTCAGCCAGTGAAACCTGCAGCCAAAAGCATTATTTAATATCAACTCTGCTTGAGGTCTCTGGTGGACTGGATGAATTGTGGGTTTGGACAAACCCTCAGCACTCGCAGACTTCCTGAGAACACACTTGCAAAGTCGGGTCAAGAGTGGCAAAAGTCCGGACATTTAGATTGAGCCTAACTTACCTGGTCTCCCATGACGCATCATTGTAGACGACCTCCCAGGAGTCTGTTCTGTTGTCATAAATCTCCACAGTTACAAAAGTTTTATCTCTCTGCAACAAACGACAAAACAGAAGAGGATGGAGAGGATTGAGAAAGTAACAAAAAGAAAAATCCAACTCAAACAATGAAACAAATACAGAGCAGCTTTTGGTCTTACGATGTCTCCAGAATGTCTGGGGTTTCCTGCTACGAACGTGACAGAGACAACATCACCCTGAAAAACATATTGAAATAAATATAAAAACAGCAGCATCTTCAGACTGAAAGAAACTGGGCCGAGTACTGAGCCCTGAGGGATGCCACAGAACAGAGAGCAGAGCAGAGGAAGACATTTTATTGTGAATGTGTGTCCTACCTGTCTATAGACAGGATAAACCTGCTGCAGGACTTCTCCAAAGCTGCTGTTCTCTGGCTTTCTGTCAACAGTCGCCGCAGGCAGCAGATTGAAGAGGTTCTTCTCAAAGAAGGGAGGCTGCGGGCCGACGTGCAGCTCCGACACTCTGTCCTGGAACCACAAAAACAATAACACACAGGACTACTGTTAGTGTCCCAGTAGTATAACGTTGATGAGACAGTCTGACTCTTCCCTGTCAAGATATGTGTTGCAACATGAAAACGTGAAGGTGCCATATGTAAGATTCTGAAGCATTTTATGTATTAATCAACTTTTCAGTGAAAATCCAAAGAATGTGGCATTTATGCTCCCATACAGCTAGCTAACTGTAGCTAAGTTTAGCTGGGGTTGTCGGGCTGGCTGTGTCTTGGCTGTGTGGTGTGGGGTCTGGTGTTGGTTGCTTCGTGGTGTTGGCTGATGGGCTGATTTGTAAATGACAAGCTAGTTAGCTAATGGTCCAAATATAATATAGGAACATTTCAGATAGTAACGTTATTCTTGTCTTAGTGCTATTTGGGGGATAATTATGATAATTATGCTCTAAGCTTTGGAACTGCAGCACCCACAATGCTTTGGGAGTGAAGTATAACGTGTCTGTTTGCAGTGTATCCACGGATGTACAGACAACTGTCACAGTCGTACCTGTGCGATGGCTCTGGCAAGCCCTCTGTACTTTTGCAGGTAGGCACTGAGCGTGTGCGGACCGTAGATGGTGGAGGCTCCTTCGTACCGCTGCACCTGAAAAACACAGGTGAGGACCATTAGTTGGAACCTGTTCTTCTTCTGTTTCACTTCCCATGAGCCTCAGCTGCAGCGTACCTGGTACTCTTCGTAGGTGGTGATGTAGTGAGTGTACACGTTGCTCAGGCCAGCGATGACCACCTCTGAGTCCCTGAACGCCCCCTCTGACTCGAGCTCCTAACACACACACACACACACACACACACACACACTCAGTATGGTCTACCTGGTGCAGCAGGTGTACAGCGGATGTTCGTGTCCCACCTGTTTGACGGCTTCTCTCAACCTCCTTCCTGACATGGTGCTGTGAACGTGCAGAGCAAAGTGACAGGATCAGGATGGAGTCACGTCATGTGTGGGAATGGTTGCCATGGTTACGACTGTGATTAGGAAACTGAAGGTGAAGCTAGTGTTATTATCAGTAGTAAACATTACGTCATCTCTCCGGGAACAGCTACGACAGCTATGGAGCCGATGGTGATAATCTGAACGTCGACAATCTCAGGATGCCACGGCAGAGGCCAGTTCATCTGCGTGCACACACATTTATTTATTAATATTTTCACCCTGACCTTTTATTTCATATGTTTACCTACAGTGGCCCTAATAGGTCGTCGCCCACAGCTTTATAAATTTGACGACAATCATTCGTCTGTATATTTCTGTCCCAAGCCAGAACGCTAACGTTACGCTCTGTCACGTTCTCACCTCCCCTGTGCTGAACAGGATCGGTTTGGGATGATGACACTTCTGCGTCTGATTGGACGGCTCGCCCAGGAGTGCATCTCGGATCCCGTCCCAGAACGGGTCGCCCTCCACAGCGCCTGCAGAGAGAGGGAGAGACACTCGGGTTTATAGGAGGTGGAACCAGGAGAGCAGAATAAGAGTGGGAGAGCAGCAGACTCACCCTGAGTGAAGTTGAGGTCTCCGCCTCCATCTGTTGTTCCTGCTGCAAAACTGTGACCCAGAGCTGGTTTACATGTACTGATCTGTCACACACACAGATGATATCACTGTATTGATTATAATCTGTATAACCTGTTAAACACTAACAGAAACAGCAGTAATGATTGTGAATCAGAACAAGCAGCAAGGAGACTGAACCTTTACTTCATTTATTCCAACACAGTGTAACATCACACGGTTTGGTTGTTCAACACACGGAATAAATAATTTCCAACTTCACTGAAACTAATCCTGGCAGACTGATCGATACGATGGATGATGGATAACAGCTATGAGTCCTTTTGATGTTGATGCTCACCGTGTGTGTGTCGTTGATCTGAACTGTGACATCCGTCATGTTGACCCACTGATGAGCAGAGTGAACTAAGCCCGTCACCTCCTCCACAGCGGTAGCATACAGCTCCTGCAGGGGGCAGCAACACATTCACACACTGTTCAGCTGTGAGGACTCTCTATTGATCTTTATTGATTTATGATTCAAGCTTATCCAGACCTTGACCCCAAAACAAAGTTTTAACCTGAAAATAAAAAGCCTACCTTGTGGGGACTTGCATATGAGTCCCCACAATGCACATTATACAACACAATGGGTTACATTCATTCTAGATAGGACCTTTCATGCTTTACAAGAGTTTTTCATCCACCGTAGTCTCACTACACAGTTGATAGGCTGAGCTGTATTCAGTTATATTCAGACAGACAGACAGACAGACAGGTACCTTGGCCTTCCTGTAGATGCTGTGTCCGATGATCCTCGTGCTCTCGAACATGTCGTCTCCAGGTCCGAACGCTTTACACATCTTAGTCTGAGAGACACACACTTCCTGTTTACTGCCTGTTGTTCATATTGAATGAATGAGCATCAGGTACGAATATAAAGATGGCGGACAGCTCTTTTGTCATTTTGTTTTTAGGTCGTTCTTATCACGCTGATGTTTGTTTAAGTGTTCATTTTTATCATCAGTTCGGTTTTAACTTGTGTAAAGATATAAAAAGGGGGTTTCACGTCATGAGTCCTGCTCGCCATTGGTGAAAGATGGCAGTGGGAGGAAGTGGAAACGTCCATCTTTTATATGTCAGTGATGACTGTGTGTGTGTGTGTGTGTGTGTGTGTGTGTGTGTGTGTGTGTGTGTGTTTACCCCTCCCACAGGACAGGAGCTGTTCAGGTAGTCACAGGGCAATCCGGTGTTCACACAGTGAGGTCCTTTAATGTTCGGACTGACATCGCCGAGGTTACTGGAGGAGAAACCAGCAACAAACCCTCCCTGAAACACACACAGGCCATCAGCTGACCCTGAATGCACATGATACTGAATGTCTTACAGGTTCCTGAAGAGTTTTTGACCTCTAGTAGCTCTATGGAGCTGTAAGCTAGTAGGCGTGGACGTAAACAATGCTTATAGCTAAACAATCAGCTTTGCAACTGTTTTATGGGATTGGTTAAACCTCAAAGATTCACACAACTTTTGTTCGTTCTCATCTCTAATACGTTTTTGGGAATTAAAGCTTATATATACAGAATTCACTTGCCACTAGACTCCATTGAGCGGCTAAGTCTAAAATGAGGGGCAGACGGGCTTATAACACACTCGCTGTAGCACCGCCTTGAGGTGAAATGACTTCCAAATGTATGTTTGTATTAGTAGCTATGCTTGCTCGGGTAATCTTAGCTGACCAGTGAACAATAACTAACATTGGCTCTCTAGCCCGGGGGAAAAGAAACCGATTTTGAGAAGGTTCTCGAGTTGAACCAACTAAACTAGGTTGGTGAAAACGGGTAATGGACGACCAACGACTACAAACCAACCAGAATACGATAAGAGATGATGCTGAACAGGCTGGTTGGACTATAGTGTGACATTCAATAAACTCACACACTCACTACACTACTATCAGCTGACATTTAAACAGATACTGATATATCTGCAATAAACTGATATCAGCTGATATATTGATAAGATAAGATGTATCTTTATTGACTGATAATTAGACACAGCACTATAGGGGAATGTAGTGCAAAGAGAAGTGAAAAGTACAAAATAAGAATATTACAAAATATAATAGAAAATATAGAATATAAATGAAAAGTATATATACTATATGCAATATGCAAATAAAATGGTGTATTATAAAATAAATAACAAAAACAAATTTGAGCAGCTTTGAAAAAAAAGAAACTAAACTGTACACGTGCAACTTCAATATAAATAGTTTGTGCAAAAGCAGGGCTTTGATGTCCCTGTTGATCAATGACTTTTGTTGGGAAACAGCAAATCCTCTTGGTGGGGATAACGCTGTCCTCACAGATTCCCAGTCGGTTGTCCTGTTAACACTCCATCAAGGCCTCCTCTGCCTCCACCGACCACTGCTGCACCCCTGGTGGACGTGCCTGCTCTGGTCCTCCACCGGGATCTCCTCCGGACATGTGACACATAAGTCTAGATACTGGTGGAGGTCCTCACGTGAGTAACCCCTGGCGCTTTATTGTGTGGTGGTTGCCGTGTCCAAATTCCTGCACATTGTTTATAGATAAAAACTAAGCTAAACTGAGGCTAAAAATAAAAAACTAAACTACCAACACTGTCCTATTTACAACAATAAATACAGTGCTAGTTAGAAGGTAAGAAAAAAGAAAGTAAAGCTTGAAAGGCAAATATAGAGAGGAGGAGAGGGAGCTGTTGTATCAAGCTGCCACTCTCTGCCACGCCAGAAGTCAAGACTTTGGTCTGGTTCTCATTATAATCATTGTTAACATCACAAGTATAAACCCTAATCAAAAGTTCAAATAGTTTTCTATAAGTTGGAGGTCCTGTCGTCCAATCACATTGTTACTATTTTTATTTTTTCCCCCCAAAAAATGCACAGAGGAGTTTGCTGTATTCTTTGTCCAGCCCTGAGTACTACCTGTGATTGGTACCAATGAGAGGGTTGGGCAGTAGCCTTTCTGTAGCCTGAGAGCTGAAACCCTGAGCAGAGCATCCCTCTGCTGCTCATGAAGCTTCATTAATATAGTCAGTGAAACTGGAACCTATGCAGAAAGACCTCATAATGTCACCTGTCCAGGTAGATCCCCGGGGTTCTTGTCCTGCTCCAGCAGGTAGGAGGCGTAGCCCATGTTATCACTGCTCACCATGCGGTTGGTGTAGTTCATGCTGACGGCATGGACGGCGAACCAGCTGTCAGGAGGGACAGAGTCAGAGCAGCATTGAGTTAAGAGACAAAATTGATTAAATTGATTTCGGTTCAATCACTGCGATCAGTGCATTTATTAAAGCTCCAGTGTGCAACATTACTGTAATATATTTACAGTATATTCAGTGGTCATTTTTGGTGGTTTGCATGTGTTTTATTTTAATAAACTCCTCCTAGGGAATTGATCGGATCAACTTCAGATTTGGTCAGTGCCATTTAAAGACCATCACAATTAAAAGTTTTGCTATTTGTGACATTAAGCAGCATGCTGTGGCTTAGCATTTCTCTGTTTCACAATAACACAGGAATAACTGTTTACTTGGACTTTATGTCAGATAGGAAAATCTGACGTTCAAGAAAATCTACATGCCAATATTCAGTCACAATCATAGCGCCATCTACTGGGAACAGGAGGTAAGCTTTGAGTTGCAAGCATCATCTGATTTTTGAATTGTTGTTGTTGTCATGAAAGGAGGGTGCCAGGTGTTTTTACCTGAGCATACCGATTCCATCTCCGTCCAGATCAGTGAACTTTAGCACCAACACCTGTTTATCCGTGTTCCACTTGTACCTGAAGGGATCAATAACAACACTAATTAATAAAGCCTATACATCAGAAGGAATACAAGCAAACATGATGTGTTTTCTCTCTGGCATTGTGTACCTGTGTCTCTCATCCTCTGGGTTGTTCAGGTAGGAGTGAGGACTTCTGTTCAGGCTGCTGTCATCCAGCTCTCCTCTGCTCCTGTAAATCCTGCCTGGCTTTATGGTAGCATGGGCTATGTCTATACTCTGGAAACATTAATGCATGGTACATCAGACCGTGGTTTATGTTTGCTGAATATAAACCAATGAATTCACACAAACCTTGACGATGCCATTGACCAGAGGCTTGATGGATGTCTTAATATAACCTTTACTGCTGATCATAAACAGAGTGTACTGGAAATATCCAGCAAGTCCAGAGTGTGTGTGAGTACCGCTCAGAACCACATTGTCCTGACGGTACAGGTTCCCGTATTTCAGCTGCAACGCCTTTAGTACCTGCACCCACACAAATCAAATTAAATCAAAAAGTCCTGGATTATCAATGTTAAACATAATAAAATAAATATATTCAATGAAAGTTGGATACAAGTACCTCAAAATTGTGCAGTAAATGTACACCACTGGTATTTTAAAACTGTGGATACTTTTGCTTAATTCAATTAAATTAAATTAAATTTTATTTGTATAGCGCCAATTCATAACAGAAGTTATCTCAGGACACTTTTCAAATGGAGCAGGTCTAGACCGAACTCTTTATTACACTAATTAAAGGCTCTAAATACTTATTTGACTATGTATATGTACTATATGTATGTGTGTGTGTGTGTGTGTGTGTGTGTGTGTGTGTGTGTGTGTGTGTTGTGTGTTGACCTCCAGTCGTAGCCTCTGTGATATCATTCCAACGTCTGCGGTAACAAACACGACCCTCTGCTTCCCGTCGTCAATGATGAAGGCTCGGCTGTACAGGCGAGTGTGTATGCCTGCGGCCGTCTGCTGAGGGTTTGCATAACCCATCTGAACATACACACACACACACACACATACAAACAGATAACCAACTTGTTGTGATCATCTCAAAGAAAAAATTAATGGTGAGCTCAGTGACGTTGTCATCAGAGGGTTTCTTCTGAATCTGCAGAGTAAGAGGAAATCTGTGCTGGATTAACTCCTCTTGTTGCTCTGATCATGGATCCAGTTCAATATAGTGCGGATCGTTACGTTGTTCAGCTCCTCCTGGAGGATCCCGGGGCCTGGCTGTTTTGGGTCTAACCCGCGGGTAGGGATGGAACTTCAGAAGATCTTATTATCAGTTCTGCTTTATCAGTCCATTTCTTTGTCGTTTTCTGTGTGGAAAAACCTGGACCTACACAAGTTTTCAGTGTCAACACAACTGTTTTTTATCTCTGAACACAGTTATAGTGGTTTGAGTTTCTTTGTGAAACAAAGCCAGTGCTTTGTAAGTCTCCAGCAGCATACACACATCGTTAGGCAATTCCCATGTGCTGGAATTGATAAAATGAACTGATAAGCTTGGATACATACAATTTAGATGGATCAGTTAACTTGGAACCCGTTCTCAATTCTCATCCTGATCCCGGGGTCTCCTTCCAGTTGTGCCTGGAAAACCTCCAAAGGAAGATGCCTAGGAGATCAGATGTTGAACCACCTCAACTGGCTTCTTTCAACATAAAGGAGCAGCAGTTCTACTCAAAACTCCCTCCGGATGTCCGAGCTCCTCACCCTTCCTCTAACCCTGAGATTCCACCAGCAGCCGGAGGTGATTGCCATGTCAATGGAAACACACCATTTGTTTCTTTTTAAGGACAAAATACAAAGGTCAGAAACGGCAGGCAGGAAGACGCTCTCTGTGAGATTTGAAGACACGCTGATCACAGAGCCAAACTGCATTGCAGACGTGGCGCCATCAACCCATACCTGGCGGAATTTTGGGGAAAGGTTGAGTCCAGACACCCTACGGAGGTAACTACTTTTGTCTGCTTGCTACATTTCCTCCTGTAGTTCATTCAGAAGTACTCAGACACATCAGGGTTGACCTCAGGGTTTATGGTCCTCTAATTGCAGACGGAGAATCTGACACTTGGATATCTCTGATTTCCAAACCTTCAAGATTATCAGTCCAAACACACCCAGTCAGAAAGGACTGCTGCAGACTTTGGAGTTTGATTCCCTGCAGATAAAAGAGTTTTTGTTCTTTTCTACAATCCATCCAGGTGGGGAAGTATGGGAAACTAAAAACACATTATTCTACCGCACCCCTCCTCAGAATATACAAATAGATTTTTCTTAAGGGGACAGTATGGAACACCAAATGGCTCACAATTTGGCTAGCTATGGCACTACCAGGCGTTGCTGCCAGACATTTTAGAAGAAGAATGGATGAGATGTTAGTACTATTTTAAGTGATATTGGAAAGAAAGGTTGAACAGGAAATCACAGCATATTGGATATGATTTTTCCACTGAATTCAGAAGACTTTTCCGATGGGGAACTGAAGACGTTATATGGCTCCCTTTAAAGCCACTAGACTGCTTTGATGAAAACAGTAGTGATAAAAACACAGGAGTTGCTAGTCTACAGTTGCCTGTACATGGTAATTTGGTACTGACCAGAGGGATTTCAGCAGGCGGCCCGGTGCAGTCGGCCCGGCCCACTCCGATAAGGTAAGGCTTGTGTTGATGTTCTGGCTCCGGACCTGACAGGACAACAGATATGGGATAGCTCTTTCAAAGCAGTATATCACCGCTCTCTCATGTTTTAGCTCTTGTGTGGTAAGTGTCTTGGTATGTATCGGTTATTTGTTGACTCTGGCGCCATTCGGTGGTATAAACACTCAATGGTAAGTCTACTGTGTGTATGTTCTCACCTGTGTGTGTTTTCCAGGTAGCCATCACTGCGATCAGTGTCACACACACGACTGTCATGATGATGAACAGGACAGCCAGCGTGGCCTCCAAAGCAGAAACACCACAACACACCGACTTCCTGCCTGCCATGCTGTCTGTGGAGGGAAACACTGTCAGAAGAGTCAAATCTATGGACCATAGCTTTATGTTGTGGTCCCCAGTCCTTCTTGCATTGTTTCGTCTGTCAGGTCAGTGGACAGCTCTTAATACTACAATACCTCTTTTCAAGTGGTGCCTGAAGAGGCCCGTCCAGCAAAGGATGACATCCCTACTTTTGCATATTTAGCCGACCTGAAAATGGGCCAATCGTGTTTGCACATTGTCACTTAACTTCTGCTTGACTTCAGGCAGTGAGGATCATTATGAAATCAACATTAGCCACAGAGGAGGTGCAGATTTTGCAATCAGTACTCTATATCACTGGAAAAACATTCAGCTCAAAAAACACTAATTGAGCATAGCGTTAGTTCAGGCAGGGCACGAAGTCAGGCTTAGCTTTCAGTTATAGCTATATCATACGATCACAGCTAGTCATAAACATACATCAGCTGATTCCTTTAAGCTTCCCATTGGATACCATACACAGTCAGCTGACAGCTCACCTGATTTCCTCAAGCATCCAATTGGCAAACATCTACATGGCGCCTTATTTAAGCTGCTTTAGCCTGCCTGCCTATCTCTGCTTCTCCTCTACAAGCCTGTTTGCCAGGATGTTGTGTGCGTTACTTGTGGTTTGTCGTTTGTTTCTATTTGTCCTGTCTGCGGTGAGTATGATGGCGGGTCGATTGCATTGTGAAGTCTCAGCAGCGATCTTGGCTGTTGGGGAGAGTGTCGCTTTTGAACAACAGTTGTGTCCGGCTGCTCTGGTTCTGGGGGGTCTGCAGAAGGGGGGAGGAATTGCTCCTGCGGCTCCGGCGCTGCGCTGCCTTCCAGGGGAGCGCGGGTCCCAGGCGCAGCAGCCGGCTCCACCTGTCTTGTCAGCTCTGTCCAACATCCGGTTGTCGCTTGCCGTCATGGGTTCAAGGGTCCAGGGTTCGGTTCGGCACGTCAGGCCGGCCAGTCTTCGTCCGCAGTTGGCCTGTTTCCCTCTTCGCTGTCTGCAGGTAGAGCGTATGGTCCCACAGGTGCAGCGCTGGACGATGACGTCAAAGCAGCTTGTTTTGACGGCGTCACATTCCCGCCGAGGATGCTGGGAAGTGCAGTCCCAATCACCATAGGGAAGAACGTGCTGGGGGCATGAGAGATAAACCTTCAACCCCAGTAAACGTCCCTGAGCTGGGGAAGGAGCTAAGAAAGCATTCTGTTATAGGGCTGGTTCATGGTTCTTAGCTGGGCTGACTTTGAAAGAGCTGAGATAGTCGATGCTGTACTGAAGAAAGGATAACAAAAGGGTTCATATTGGCCCATTCAATAAATCGCCTTCTCAACAACCGGCATTAAGGTATAGCTACCAGGAAATATTCAGGGAAAATAAATATATAAAATCATAATTATGGATTTATCTGCTCTTGCAACGGCGAAACTAAGGCATAAATTGTTTAAATCCTGCACTTTTTCCTTATTTTATGCTATAATCGACAATGCCATCAGTTGATTAAGGAAGCATGTAGAGGCGCATGGCTAGCCAAGGCAGATGTCACAGATGCCAGACATTGGCATCTGTTCGGTGTTAAATGAAGAGAAATGTACTTCTCAGTTAGGCTCACCTTTGGTTGTTACAGCAGCCCCACATATTTGACACTGTCAGAGGCTCTCTGCTGGATTCTTTTAATAACTGCAACTGCTTTTGTGCTCCATCTCGTAGACGATTTTCTGTTAGTTGACTATCAATTCAAAATCAGACCATGCATTTCTGCTCTTAAATATACCTTTAAACATTAGGTCTTCTGCTATCCAAGGAGAAACATCAGGCCCTGTAAGGCTAGAGTTCTAGGCTTCACTCTAGATAGTGTACTGATGCAAAATCACATCAGAGAGGTAATGAAGCAGCAGGCAGTAGTGATTTCCAAAAGAGAACTGCTCTCCTTGCTTAGACATCTTAAATTGGCATGTGTGATATTCCCCAGGGAAGTTCCCTTATATCCAGGCTTCTGATTTATAGAGAACTCCATGATATGGTGAGCTTGGATGAGGGCTGCAGATCCGAGCCCCAGTCCTGATCTCTTCTGTGTGATAATGGTATGGCATCTCCTTCTTTTACAATGAGCAGCTAGAATCATCATTTGCCATTAATTATAAAAAGAAGCAGCATATTGAGTACATATAAATGAATTGAACACTGTGTGCCAGTTCACCCTGGGCGCTTTATGTCAACAGCAAGGTCTAATAGTGTGACTGCTATGATCTACTAGATCACTAATGAACAGCTTTGCTGAGCTTAGAAGACAGAGAGCAGACATGAGGGGCAATTTAGGGAAGAGCAATGGATCCACAAGTTTTTTGGTGTTGTGTACAGAATAATGGAGATATAATTAATTCAAACATACAGTAGAAGTGGCATGATTGACCTGTATGATAACCGCCCTTCTGTAGGTTTTGGGGGGGTATTTTAATAATCAGTGGTTCACAGACATATGGCTAAAATACTGTCGTCCTTGCAGCTAATGCCTCTTCTACCTTTTTAATGAATGTACAATTGTTGTTTCATGTTTCTGTGGGGAAAAGACTGGTCAAGGAAACAATCATGTTTTTGTGACAATGAGGCAACTGCCAACATCATTTACAAGGGCGTTCTTCAGTTCCATTCATTAATAGATTTGTAAGGCGCCTCACTTGGTTATCTATGTTGGGTAAATTCATTATTAGAGCATCTCATATTCCATGCTTGGATAACAATTGCTGATTCTTTGTCACGGTTTGAATTGCAGAATTTCGCCAGCTGTGCCCGGAGGCAGCGCCATCCAGCCTGACTTGCCCCCCATTTTCTCAAACCGTGTTAGACTAAACACAACCATGCAATCCTACAGGCTATCTACTGCTCAGTATATGCGATCTGGTTTAGCTAATCTACATTAAAATAACTCCTCATTCAATTCGCATAGGAGCAGCAACAAATGCAGCATCCGTAGCTCCTGTCTCGACGCTAAGGCTATGGGTAAATGTTCATTATCTGCTTATGAACGATATCTCCTGCCTGAGGCCAAGCAATTCTTGATGTAGTGATGGGAATTCCGGCTCTTTTTAGAGAACCGGTTCCTTTGGCTCGGCTCACTAAAAAGAGCCGGCTCTTTCGGCTTCCAAGTGGCTCCTCAGATTTTTTTGTTGCTTAAATTAATTTATTACCAAATTATGTGTAAAATGAATATCTAATGTAAATACATACATTATATCAAATGTTTATTATTTATATGGATTTATTAATATAAAAAAAAGCTGCTCAATATGAAATTTTTAACTTTGCACAGTCTACACTCTGCCTTTGAACCGTCTATCACATATATATACATATATGTCCAAACTGTACTACATTTCCTGTCACTCATTTTCCTCACCTTTCCAGTGTGTAGTCTCTGTCTATGTAGTAAGTTCTCTCGCTCTGTCAAGTCTCCCTCCCACCTGTTCACATGCTCTCTGTGCTTCTGTAACCCCTCCCTCCCCCCTCCTGCTGAGTGTAGATACACAGACGACGCCACACATCTTGACCAATCACGCGGCTTTAACAGAAAAAAATCCAGATCTGGCTCCCAATCAGGAGCCGGATCGTTCGCGACCGACCCATCACTACTACCCAGAAGTGACTGTTGTTGTTAGAGCCACGTCCCTGGGATTCGGTCTATAAAGGACATTTAAACCAGGGCAAACTTTATTATCAAAAGAGACATTTTAGGCAAAAAAAAAACCCTGTCTGGAGCCACAAAACATATTTAAGCTAGATAATGCCAGTGTTGGTGGAGTCCATTCAAGAGCTAGTCTAGTCAGGGCGACTCAAGACTTGTAGCCACCACTATTGAGGTTTGGCAAAATATGGAAGAAATACAACCACGTCAGGACGTAATGTCTGACGCACATTTTAGTTGACGAAATGTTTTTTTTATTCAGTGTGTAATGGATACACATTTTCACAACTGAAGAATGTAAGTATCACTTTAGGCTAACAGGGAGCTAAAAGAGTCTAAAGAGTGCTTGAGTCATAGATTACCTACCACTGACTGAAACCCATCACTATGGTTACTGAACTCATCCCAAATTGATCCAAAATGTGAAAGAGAACAGATTTAATGCTCAGTCTCAGTAAGAAGTCAAATGTCATTGTTCTTCTCTGACGGTTTAATGGCTCCACCAGCTTATTATCTTCATCAGCCAATCAACATATGGTAGAATTTGCATTACATTTGGATGAGAACCTGACAAACCTGAGACAACTCCATACAGCTCAAAAAGCTGCTCTCAGGTCTGTTTTCACTGATCCACAGCATCCTGGACCACAGTGGAAACATAAAAATGAATCAGAATCTGCGATCGGAGAAGACAGTCGTACTCACCTTCAGCGTAACACTCAGGAGAGAAAACTTGTTTGTGTTGAGAGAGGTCTGTTTTACAGCTCAGATCAGTTCAGTTCAGCTGTTATCTACCTGATAAACAGTCGCAGCAGTTTTTCTCCTCTCTTGTTCCAAAGTTCACTCACCTGAGTGCCATGCAGATTATAGATCAGTGATTACATAAGTAATAGAGCCACAATAAATTAATTCATCTCAACTCAAGGTCTGCTGACTTGGTCGTTCTAAAGCTTCTGACCATCTCAAACAGTCTAAATCAGGAAATAGACTGATGCACTGTCACAGAACTATACATGTATGAGGAAAGAGCCCTGTGAGGGGAATGTAATCACTGATGAGACCACTAGAAACAAAAGACATTTTAAGCCTTTTAAACAGTAGTGGGAGCAGTAAAAGTCCAATTTAAGTTATTAACTGAAATTTTCTGTAATACCTTTCAAGATTTAATACTTGGACCTCATTCAATTCAATTTTATTTGTATAGCACCAATTCATAACAGAAGTTATCTCAGGACACTTTTCAAAACAGAGCAGGTCTAGACCGAACTCCTTATAACGTTATTTACAGAGACCCAACAGTTCTCAACTCTGACTCATGCACACTGAACGCAGCCAGGGACGGGGGAAATGCCTGAGACTCAACTTCCTCTCAGATATTCCAGAGAAGACCAAAATACAACTGGATTTGGTCCTGTGGTCCAACTCCTGCTGGCATGTCTTCGTTGCTGAGCTGGCAGTGCTGGGAGGATGCTGTGGATGAAGCATATGAATGGAAAAGTCTGCGATGTGGGGCTGGAACGTGAAAGTGTGACCACACTCAAAAAGATTATTTGTTGCATTTACTTAATGTAGTTATGTCAACAATGTCCTCCAAACTGAGTCGTGCTACTATAATTTAATGGTATTATTAAGATGGGAGGAACTAACATGACTGTTTTTGGCAATTCCAAATATATCTGGTTGGATTTAAGTAACAGGTCAGTGTCCCGCTAACTACACTGACCAAGATAATGCTTTACATAACTGCGTTGATTAATGGCAACATAAAGATATTTCATAAAACTGACTTAACTCATTTATGTTAATGTTTCTCAACTGCATTTACTACAACAAACTCAACTAGTTTTCTTTGCTGTAATGGTAGTGGATTTTAAGTGGACTTACTAAACCTGATTACGTCAACAATTTCCACACAGTGTAGTTAAATACAAAGAACAATTACGGCTGTAACCTCTGTTGCAAATTATATTGTTAATGCTTTAGATAACAAAAAGTCTTGTGCTGCTCTATTTATTGACTTATGTAAAGCATTTGATGCCGTTGACCATCATCTTCTTCTGCAGAGACTGCAAAACATAGGTTTTAGTAGCACTGTGCTAAATTGGTTTCCTAATTACCTGAGTGATAGAACTCAGTGTGTGGCATTAGATAACTGTACCTCATCCTTGCTAGAAGTAAAAATGGGTGTCCCCCAAGGATCAGTTTTGGGTCCTATTTTATTTTCTATTTATATAAATTATTTAGGTATGAATCTGAATCAAACAAAGGCTCATCTTTATGCAGATGATACTATCTTGTACACCTCTGCTAAGTCATTGGAAGAAGCAATTCATCATTTACAGTCTGCCTTTAGTCAGGTACAAAAATCTCTGGTAGGATTAAAATTGGTATTAAATGCTAAAAAAAAAAAAAAAAAATCAATGGTTTTTACACGTTCACATTCTCCTATAGATTTCACTATTTCAACACAAAATGGTACTCCAATAGAGAGAGTAACTTCCTACAAATACCTAGGCATTTGGTTGGAT